GCATAAATCTTGATTGACACATACCTTTATATTTATGTTTAAACTCGTCAATTCTATTACTATTTTTTATGTCCGCACTTACCGTAAATTATTCCATAGTTTTACCCCACTTATGGAAATACAAAATCTTTTTTTGGGTTGTAAGTATAGCATGAATTTTTAAATTTAACTGACCCCTTAAATTGTATCCCCCTTCCGTTTCATTAAATAGTTTTTGAATTCCACCAGATAATAAATTGTTCCTGGCTTTATACATAAACACAGCAGTCTTATATCCCACTAAATCGAAACATTTTTAACAATTTAGACTGTATGAAAGCTACATTGGTGTGATCCCTATACCCCATCTTATGCACAATTCTTATCGCTCTTTTTTGTAATATATACAATGGTTGAAGTGAGCTTTTGTATGTATTTCCCCAGTTTTCAACGCCATACTCTAAGTATGGTAAAATCAATGAAGAATACAAAACGTGTAGTGCTTTCCCGTCCAAAATATATCTAACCCTTGCCAATATCGATATATTTTTTGCTATTTTTTTGAAAACTTGTATTTCTCACTTGATTCTTGTGGCTATTTTCTTCTTACCAGTCTTGAGCATCAACATAGCTTCTCTGACCTCTCACCTTGATCCTAATGCCAGCATCATTGACTCGGTTTCTACATTCACCATACCTCCTTTGCTTAATCCTATTATTTACTCTTTAAAGACAGAAGAAGTGCTGAACTTTATCAGGAAGCTTTTCAAAAACAATAGAATTTCAAAAACCTTTTCCAAAAAGTTAGCTCTTTATCACTAGCTGACACATCAGACAGTATTAAAATAGTATAAATGTGTTTTATAGCTGTTTTGCTATGAGCATCTTGGTAGAAAATACTTCAATTTTACAATTAAATTGTGGTTTTTATGTTTTATTTTGTCATTTACTGTCTTTACAGTAGCTTCATAATCGTCAGCCTTGTATGCGGTGCAAGGCTGCCAGGCTCAGTAAAAGCTTCTTTCCGCAGGCCATCAGACAGCTTAATTCCCTCTGATATTTTTTATTCAGTGCAGTATTTTTTAATCGTGTAATATTTTTTATTCAGGTTCTGTACATATATGTGTGTATATATCTTCTAAAATAGTTTTGAATTGATATTCATTGTAGGTCTAAGTGTGAATGTCTGTCTTACCTAGATTTCTGTATATTGCCTTGTGTGTCTACTTTCGCTCTGCTGTACCCTCCTAGCTGTATAGTCTGAATGACAATAAAGTACACTTTGTACCTTTTGTATAAACTAAGACCCTAAGGCCTGAATAACTACCTGGCAGTATATTAATGAAATATTGTATATTATTAGCATGTATATTAAATATCAAACATAATAAACTATGTGCTCTTATTGACGAGAACAGAGGATTGTTACAGATACAACAGATAGCAACTGGCTAGTGTATAAAGTTGAGCAATTAGCAGCTAAAGAGAAAACTAATTTTTTCCACTTTTACATGTAACATATTCATGAACATAAATGTGCACACTGTAATAGTTTTCTTGGCATAAGTCATAGAATAAAAGCTAAATGGTTTTCTACATGTAGATAGAAAGATTTGTGACACAAAGACACATCACAACACCTGATCAAAGGAAATTATTTTTCTGTCATTTTAGGAACATGAAATGAACCTTCACTATATGCTTTTATTTTTCACCAAAACAAATGATTACAAAATAAACTATGAACAATGAAAATGATTACGAACTAAACCTCCAGATACAAAGCAGGCTGTACTGAATCCACCATGTACTGGAGCAAAACATCTTTAATCACAAATAAACCCAAACTGTTCTGCTGATAACTTAATTAAACATTATGACACATCTCTGGGATGGTTTGAATTTGCGCAAACCTTTATTTCTGATGACATAACTTAGGCTGTGACCCTGTGTGGAACAAGGTCAAAGAAATTCAAAAGCATAAACTACAAGTCATTTTGTTTTAAATATAAAACCCTATAAAATGCAGTTATATGATATTCTGTTATTATAGGTTTAATTTTCTTTTCAGATTCCCTTTTAAATCATGTGCAATGTTGAATTTCTGTAAGCAATTTGATGCAAATTATCATGACATCAACTAAGAAACTATAAACATTCATATGAAGCACATTATCAGTTGCTTTCTTTGTTCATTACAGTCTCACTCAAAGTGTGATATTATTGTATGGTCTAGCTTTTATTGTTGTACATTTTTTAAAGTATATTATTTAAAGTAAATATTAGTAATACTTGTTTTACTATAATGCAAATTATACAAAAGACTGAAAACATCAGATACTTGCAGTACTGTTAAATTCTTACTGCAATTTTTGACTGCCTTCTGATTTTAAACAACTTTTTCACAGATTCTTTGATTTCTTTTGTCTGCAGAACATAAATGATTGGGTTCAGTGACGGGGGAAAAGCAGAGGTCAAAGAAAGATTTACAATCCTGGCATTTGGATGCATTCCTCCTGTAAGAGTAGCAACTATTAATAATGGGAAGAAAAAGATTGCCACTAATGAAAGATGAGCTATGCAAGTTTTAAAAGCCTTCACTCTCTCATGAACTGTGGCCACTTTACTTAAAGCAAAGCCGATATATAGGTAAGTAAAAACGATGAATACCAGTGGAAGCCCAAGAATAAGAACTGTTAACAAAGCACTAAAGATGAAGCTGGGTGTTCTATCATCACAAGCCAGTCGATATATCTGACCATAGTCACAGAAATAGCTGTTAATAACCACAGAGTTACAGTAGGAATGTCTGGTGAGAAGGCTGACTGCAATAACTGTAATAGTAAAGGCAAAGAGCCAGAAAGAGGCGATCAAAGTAAACATGAACCTGTGGGTCACCTTCACATGATAGTGCAGAGGGAAGATGATGGCTATCATTCTGTCATAGGAGAGTGCAACCAGATTAAGAGCTTGCATTGAAAGGCAGATGTAGTAGAAGAAAAGAAAAGTGAAGCAATCGTTGTAGGGAATGTAGGGATGGTCAAACAGGAAAATGTCAAGAACCTTTGGCACCAAAGCAGAGCTACCAAACAGGTCTGTAAAGGCTAGATTAAAAACTACAATATATTTTGGAGTTCTCAGAGTATGATCCAAGCATATTATTACCATCACAAGTGTGTTTCCCAGCACTGAAACTATAAACAGTAAAAAGAGAAAGACATAATAATACTTGATATTTTGGATGCCAGAAAAACCACTTATTATAAAATATGCAGGACGAACAAAGGTGTTGTTTTTGTCGAGATCTGAGTTGACAAAGTTCATTGTAAAACTTGTCTGACTTCTTGTTTGTCGGCCTCTTGCTGGCTGCTCTGCTTACTGATGTGTTCTCTGTCAGCAGCACAGTGATAAATGTAGACAGATGTCCTCTTTACTGTGTCTGTATCCTGTTCTCTTTGTGATGATGAAGCTGTGCCAAGCTTTAATTGTTCTGAAAGGAGTGGCTAAAAAGCAAAGCGGTCTCATCTGAGTTCATGACTAATAGGGTCAACGTCTGACCCTCTGTGGCTTTTCAACATATGCCACTCAGTATCAAACTAATCCTTTTCTCAGTCTAACAAACCCATTGGTACTCATCTAAACTACTTAGCAAATTCTCAGATACACCCATCAACTGAAGGCCTATGTATTATCTATCATTTGCAATCCAGTCTGCACCTGACAGAACATCTTACTGACTGCAATCCATTTATTCATCTGTTACTGACACTGAGCAAGAGGCACGAGACTCTGTCTACATGACGTGTTACTATGCATGTGGCCCGCAACCATCACTGTGTTCATACTAGCAGCATGAGGCTTTGTGGAGCTGCCACTGCACTTCAGCAGGGGAGACGGAATGAAAGTCACATTTACTCATGATAATCTGACACAACTTAAAAAAGGAAAAACCTCTGCCCACACGGGCTTTTAGTTATAAAAAATTGGATATATTTTGTTTTGGTTTTCACTTTACCTTTATATTCCCACAACCTAGGAACCTGTAATATAACTCCTGTAATAAGGCCTGTATTATAACTCTTATCTGTTTAAATAAAATGTTCTGATGAGTGGCATAGGGATTAGGGTTAGGTTTTTGTTGTAAACAGGTGTGTTTTTTTCCTCAGTTTTACCTTTTATATATTATTTTGCATTAGTTGGGAAGCCCTCACACTCTATATTTTCAAGCTTTGGACTTGTTCTTACATTTTCAACACTGAGCATGTTTGTGTTTTTTACAGTAAAAAAAAACATTTTTGCAATCTGTATTTTTAGGGTTAAACATGTGGATAGAGTATGTCTACATGTAGAAATAACCATCAAGTCAAGTCAAGTCGAGAGTCAAGAATCTTTATTGTCATTATGCATAGCACAATGAAACTTTTTCTGGCAGCTCTCAGCTTGAAAGACAGACATATTATTTACATAACACACAGGTCATATATGTGAAGTTGTGCTGAAAAAAAAGATTGGCCTATTAAAGATTGTTTATCATGGTATATAAATGATAAAAATGAAGTATTTAAAAACAGTCAAAATGGCCCAAGATGTGGAGGCATTAAATAACAGGCAGAACATAAAGACAAACAAATGCACAGTGATTTTTCTGTTACTTATACTGTAGATTTGTTCATCTTCACTTTTTATGTTTGAAAACTGTAGGTGACAGATAGTTTTATCAATTAACCTGACAACTAATTCTTCTGAAAACACTATAAACAGCAGATTTCACCACAGAAGGCATCTTACATTATTAAGCAAAAAGAGTTTGTAGTTATTTAACTATGTTACACTCATTAAAAACTGCTTGATTTCTATGCTCATTACCAAAGGTCTACTTTATACATTTGCTACAATGATGTAATGTTTTAATTATGTCATACGCATTTGTGTGACATTAGAAAGGATTATTCTGCAATGTATAATTGTCAATTAAAACAGCAAAAGAGACTGTGTATAGCGATAAATCGTCACCCTGTGGTTCATGCTTTCATTGTTATTTTGGATTTCCATCTGATTTTTAATAACCTTTTCACAGATTCTTTGATTTCTTGCGTCTGCAGAACATAAATGATTGGGTTCAACATGGGAGGGAAGACAGAGGTCATAGACAAGTTTATGATCCTGGTATTTGGATCAATTTTTTCCATCGAGGTGAATGTGATTAACACTGGGATGAAATAGATTGCCACCAATAAAAGATGACCTATGCAGGTTTTAAAGGCCTTAAGTCCTTGATGAACTGTAGCCACTTTAGCTAAAGTAACAATGATACAGAAGTAACTTAATAAGATAAAAACAATTGGAAGCCAATAAATAAGAACTGGATACAAACAACTAAGGACATAATTGGGAAAATGGTCATTGCAGGAAAGCCGGTATATCTGACCATGGTCACAGAAATAACTGTTAATAACCACAGATTCACAGATGGAAAGTCTTGTAATGAGTCCAACAGCAATGAAGTTAGCAATTATATCAAAGAGCCAGAAAGAGCCGATCAGAGACGACATGGACCTGTGGGTCACTTTCACTTGATAGTGCAGTGGGAAGACAATGGCAACCAGTCTGTCATAGGCAAGTGCAACCAGATTAAATGACTGCATTGAAAGGCAGGTGTAGCAGAAAAACAGGAACGTCAAGCAGTCGCTGTAGGGGATGTAGGGATGGTTAAACAGAAAGATGTCAAGAACTTTGGGCACCAAAGCAGAGCTAGCAAACAGGTCAGTAAATGCTAAGTTAAAAACTGCAATATATTTTGGAGTTCTCAGATTACGATCCAGGCATATTAAAGCCATCACGATTGTGTTTCCCAGCACTGAAAAAAAATAAACAAAAAGGAGAAAGACATAGTAATATTTGATGTTCGGAATACCAGACAAACCGCTTACTATGAAATAAGCTGGATGGACAAAGGTGATGTTTTTTCCAAGAGCTGAGTTGAATAACTCCATAGCTGAACTGCACACTGCACTGATTAATGTAAAGAAGTGTCCTCTGCTGTGTGTCAGTACTGTGCCCTCTTATGTAGATGCAGGTGATCTCTTCTCTCTGGTGACAGAGCCCTGTCAAGAGGCGCCGTCAAGAGAAGCAACCCTCCTCTGCCTTTCTGTCATATACGGTCATTGTCAGTCCCCCTGTGTCATCTGCTCATAAGCCACTCAGCATTAAACAATCTACTACAAATCTATAGCATACCTGTTACACATTTTTTACGTCTGGCATTTCAATTTAGTCAGTGAACTTTCAACAATTTTTCTGTTGAAAACCGCTTTAATCAATACTTTTTATAAAAAGGTATCAAACCACTGAGAAAACAATATGAAAGGTCGCTGTATTACCCCTATGGAGGTTTATGAAAGGTTTATAAGAGGGTAAAAAACATAAACATACTGCAGTTTAGCATTCAGCCCAGGGTTTTCTGGTGGGGTCTCATCCTGTGACTGAGGGTGGGGGTGGGGTTGAAGGGATTAGCTGGGAAATTTCATCATTGTTTGTAAATTTTCTACAAGAGGGTGTTGAAGAGAAAGAGACTGTTGAGCTGAGGTGGTGTGCTCGTTACTGATCACCGATCTGACGCCATGCACTTTAATTAAGTGTATGTGCACAAACTAACAGCTTGTGAGCCACAATGGCAGAGTGGGGTGAGTGGGGTTAGTAGAGCAGGGAATAAACACTTCTAGACAAATTGAGTTTGTCACCACTAACATTTACTCAACTGGGTACCCAACAGCATTTGCAATCTCAGTGGTGGAGGGTTCAGTGTCTTATTTAAAGGCAGTTTGACAAAAGCGGTAAAGGAAGAAATGTTACATACCCATATTCCCCAGTGAGATTTCCCCATCTTGTCCAGAGCTACAAAGCCGCAGTGTTGTATGACAGGCAGTTGGCTTGGCACCTGAAACAAATGGGTTTGGGGAAATACAGTTATTCACTTCCTTTACAAGAAACATCATGTCACACTTTGTAAAACCACAAATGTATGTTTTATGTTTTGTACAAACTGAATAAGCATGATCTAACAGTGAAGTTTGCAGATGCTGGTTTAGATCTTCCTTTGCTAGCTGGGACTCACTGGTTCCTCTGGTTGGTCAGGAGGAACACCATTTCTTAAGAGAACTAATCAACTAATGCATCACTTTAAGTAAGAAGATAGACTGATACAAACATATCATGAACAATTAGAAAGTAAGCAAATCTTTTTTTTGTAAATTCTACAGTTGTAGTATTCTGTAAAAACAATACATATGAAGTTTATTTATTCTAGAGGACAAATAAATCAAAGGCAGCAAATTAAGATAAAAAAAATGAGATGTGTTTTATTCCAAGTACTGTCGTCTGTACGCACCAATGATCTGACCTACATTCTTGGGATCTAGATGTTCATATCTGTAATTCATTTCATTTGGCTCAGTGTTCTGTGTCTAAAACATCAGAACCTACTCAAGAGACCGTTGAAGCTCCAGGGCCACTAAACCTCTAAATTCAAACTATTATATTGAATATTACAGTATCTGTAGGGATTTACTATTAAGGTAATATGGCCAAATTAATAAAATTAACTCCCTCGGGATATTAGAGATGTTTGACTTCTCCCACAGAGAATTAGCTCCTCAAAAAATAAATAAAGAGGACAAAATAACAAGAGGCATCTGCTCCCTCAGGTCTACAGGAAAGAGAACATTAAACCAGTGAGTGGGTAAATAAATAAAATAAATAACCACCTGTTACATTATGATATTTTATAGGATTTCAAAGAACTACAGCACAATGTTTATAGAATCCACAGCAGGGCTGCAACTAATTGTTTTTCTAGACAGTATCAATTTATCTTTAAATATTTCAGTGAATAGAGTTTCTTTTACAAAATGTCAGATAAAACTAAACAAAATTAAAGCTGAGGCCTACATATGTTTGGCACTTGTTTTAGGCTAATTACTTAAAATATCAGTTATTAAAACTGCTGCGATTAAACTCCAGCGATTAACCAGTTAATCACCTCATCATTTCTGCACCTGTGTACTATGTACACTGGCACTGCTTTTGGTAATAGTGAGTATACAGTAAGTACAGTACTAGTAATATTAAAGGTTTTAGATGTAACAGGTTTAGTAGTAACTTAAGTAGTAGCAGTATTATTGCTGCCTGTAGTTGCAGTCAGAGCTGCAGTAGTAGTATTATTACTTGCGGTTGCAGTAAGAGTATTAATACTAGATGTAGTAATCATGCTGCCAGTTATCACAGTCGCAGTAGTAACAGTAGCCGCAATAACAGCAGTAGTGACAGTGAAAGTAATAGTAGTAGCACCGGCATTAGGTATTTTTTGCTATATTACATTTTTTGGGATGCAACCCCATCTCCAGACTGAGGTTAAATGAATACTTTCATAAGTAAATAGTTTCAAATCATCATGGTTATTGAGTGAACTTGACCTTACTTCATCTGAACTTACAAACAAGTTTGTCAGCGCTCCTGCAGCTGAACCCCAGCTCACTGTCACTGTACATTTCCATTTGACCTCAGGAGAGACCTGATCTGTTTTTCTCATCACACCAGCCTGTCTTCCCAGAAGACGACACTGTTGCGTAAACCTGTTGTGAACAAACTGACTAATTGATCCTGAGAGGTTTATGGTTCCCTTGCCAGTCACACACACACCAAAATATTTATCACATGATTTTTATGACTTTCAACATAAAGTGGTCCATGGAGGCAAAGAGGAAAGACTGAAATGTAAGATTTGCCCACAGAGGAAAAACAAAATATAAATATAAAATAAAATTTTATGAGCAGTGCACTCCATGTACCTCATTTAATTTAACACAACTCACCCTGACTGAATGCTGAACAACAGTTTGGCCTTTAATGTGTTGGTCTGGCTTATATAGGCCTCAACAATGTAATATGAAGTATGCATTATATGTTCGGTTCACACTATGTCAAAACCCAGCTGTTAAAAAATGTCCACTCTCATCCAACATGGATTCAGTTTTGGTCACTGAGAGAGAAATACATCAGAAAATACACACATACACAGTCACTAGATTCAGGCGAGTGACAAATGAAAGGAAAATCAACATAAAGTGTCTCAGTGAGATGCTGGGCCACCGCGTGCCACCATAGCAGCCTCAGTGCACCCTGACATTGATTTTATAAGTCTGAACTCTAGTGGAGTGATGAACACTGTTCTTCCACAAAATGTTCTCTCATCTGGTGTTTTGATGATGGTGGTGGAGACGCTGTCTAACATGTCAGCCCAAAATGTCCCATTGGTGTTTTCATCTGGGTTGAGACCTGGTGACAAAGACCGTAGCAATGATTCACGTCATTTTCATGCTCAAACCATTTAGTGACCCCTCATAGCCTGTGGATGGGGGCACTGTCATCCTGGGAGAGACAAGCGGCCACAAACCAGGCCAGCATCTCCACTCACTCATCAGGTCATTCCTTTAGGTGGTCACCTGTCTGGATATTGCCACTCTAAGTTAAGCTTGATGTGATGGCAAGCATTTGTTGATGTTCATATCCACCAGACACAGGGTTACTCTCAGATTATTCCACACTGACCCACATTGGTTCTCTTCCACTCTGTTAAGCTTGGGAAAAACATGAATATGTGTTACCAGCAACAAACAGGAGCTTTCACTTAAATTAACTTTAATCGCAACAGTACATAAGGGAGCATATAAAGACACCACATGCTTTTTAAATGCATTAAAATGATTACTAAATATCAAAATAGTTGATTGTATTGTGTAATGTACCCATTACAGGGGTCACTATGGACCCAGTTGCTCTGCCTCATGGATATAAAAACAGACCAGTGTTTACCAACACTTCAGCCTTACCTTAATAAACTGATGATTTACTTTATGATGACTGGATCTGTAAACTATTCTAATGCGTTTCTGCCACCTAGTGGCAGAAACTTTAATCTACCTTGGATGACAAATTCCCATTTCAAGTTCCCAGCATCCACAGAGATGTGATTAAATTGTTTGTTTAGTCCAAATCAACATGAACAACATGCAAACATAATCAATTTACAACAATATGAGACAAACAAAAACAGCACGTCTTCACATTTGAATAAAGTAAGACTTTTGCCAACCTGAAAAAAAGCCACTCAGCTCTGTGCACTCCGGCAGAAAACATTTGTACTTTACAAAAACTCAGCAGCATAAAAGGTCAACATAGGGCAGACCTTTAGCAGAGCTGAAAAGCTGCGGGTTCTTAATGTGGATGATTTCCTAATTATTTTGTCTGTATTAAAAAAAACAATGAAAAACACATGCTATTATTCCCCACAGTCCAAGCTGACATCTTCAGATGTCTTGTTTTGCCAAACCAACAATATAAAAGTCAAACATGTCTAATTTGCAGTCATGTACGATAAAGCATCACATCCCCACATCTGAGTAGTAATTTATGGCACTCATGCTTGAAAATTAGTATGGCAGTTGCTCAAACATAACAATTGTTGATTGACTTTCTGTCAATCAAATAACCAGTTAATTGCTGCATGTCTAACAGATGTGCTCTTGATCCAGAAAAAAGCTGTAAAATCAAATTTCTTCTAGTTTAAAAAATCTGAAGAGAGGTTCTAAACTGTGTCAGTACTGTTAGTACAGTATGTCTGTAGCCAAATTGCTTCATAACTTAGCATTTTGCCTGTTTTGGGGACAAGGTCAGAGAGGCCAGATTGAGAAGGTTTGGACATGTGCAGAGGAGGGATAGTGGTTATATTGGTAGAAGGATGTTGGAGATGGAGCTGCCAGGCAAGAGGTCAAGAGGAAGGCCAAAGTGGAGATATAGGGATGTGCTAAAAGAGGACATGAAGTTAGTTGGTGTGAGAGTAGAGGAGATCTGGGTCTTTACAGCTAAATACTTGACTGTCTGTTTGCTGTTTGGTGCTCAGCATGTATTGCACAGTTAGTTTTTAGAGATTTTTCAGTATAAAGAGATGCCTTCATGGTAGATCTGCTGGTACTCTTCCACTGAACAATTGTGGATTGTCACAGGATGGTCCTGCTGCAGTGGGGCAGTGGAGGGCTGGGGGCTGAGGGCCACACTGGAGACCACTGGCAGGTCCTCAGGTGGGATCAGACTCAGCACCCTTCTAATGTCAACAGCTGGGGTGGAGGGTTGAGGAGGGGGAGCCAAAGTTGACACCTCTGGGGTTCAGCAACAGGTTTGGAAGGACAGGCCCCTGAGGTCCACTTCCCCTTCTGGGAAAGGTTACCAGTAGTAGCAGCCTGGTGGTGCTTTGGCTGTAATTTCAGCAACACGTGAGAGAACATCAGGCTTCAGTGAATGTTTTACTTTATAACAAAAATCTATGATTGCACAAGAGAAGATCAGCATCAGATGCACTGCAGATGACTACTTTGTCAAAACAAAAGACCCTTCACAGATTCTGTCAGTTTTACAGGATTTTAGAGGTACAGCTTTTATTTTATTTTACCCCAGGCTACAAAAAAAATTTCAATTGAAGGGCAGTAAAAATTAACTTGAACTTCAAATTGAGGACTGAATTTATCACAGAGTGAAGCTGGAAACTAGTAAAATTGTCACTGGACCGTAACAGGAAATGTAACCGAGTCCAACTTGCAGTGCAGTAGGCCTGTACATTAGGTCTAGACTGTCCCAACACATTCAGTATTGACAATAAAGTTTGCTATGCATTTTCCATGTTGGAAAGCAGCCTAGTTCTTGAGGGTTATACAGTGAAAAGTCTGGGGCATAAGCACAATAAGATATCCATCTTTCACGTGGTTGTCCCTGCAGCATGGCCACTGTCTATAGGCTCCAGGCATCCTTCCACGCTTTGCCTGGCAGGCAGAGATTCACCTTCAGCTGTCATGATGTTGCAGACACATAGGCACATCACACTGCAACAATACACACACACGTGTTCAAATAAGACTTTACAGATACAATAGGCCCATTTGTCCTTCCAACCAATGCGGTTCTATTGTTCCCTATAAAGACCATATTAGGGCCCCTGAGCAAAATGAGCTGCTGGGCCCCTAACAACCCAGTGTGTACAGTTTTAACTTGCTGGAATATTATGTGGCTTCAGATTTTCTGTGGTAACCTGAATAAATATAATAATGTAGTGTGCTGGGGTGCAGGGGGTGTCAGCGGATCTCCCTCAGGCCCTATCGACAGAGACTGTATGTGTTTCAGAGTTACTGTGTGTTCAATTTCTGTTATGGGGGGGCAGACCAGGCCAGCTGGGGACGGGCATTATAACGGAGAGTGCTGGTGGAACTAATGGGCTTTGGCCAACAGGTAAATAGTTGTGTGTGTGTGTGTGTGTGTGTGTTTGCTAAATTTAAAAGAAAGCAGCTATCTCGGGTTGTGCGGTGTATGGGGCATGGAAGCTCGCAAAAAAAATTGAGTTTTGGTGTCTGGCTCCTTCTTCACCACAGCTGACGTTACAGTAATTTATGAATATGCAACATGTCAGCACAAATTTATTGAAGATTTTAAATCCAGATTTTAACAAAGGGGTTCTTCTTCTTCAGGACAGAGCCTCACGCTTGGGGAATATAGCAGGACCCACCTTAAGGTGTTTATCATGTCAGCTGGTATCATGCTTTTGGTAGCCTAATACATAATCCCATATCCAATAGAAAAAGTTACCACAAACCACTGAATGAAAATCTAATGTGATATATCGGCTGGGAATCATGTTGAAGTACTTTAGGGTTACATGTGTTCAGAATCAGAATCAGAATCAGACACACGAGGAATTTGACTCTGGTACAGCGGCTCTCAATGTGTACATACATGTCAACAAGCAAAGGAATGTGCAGTAGGGAAGAGATAAAAAAATAAGACTAAAGTACTTATAAATAGAGACCTGTACATATATATATACATATTGTATATATACACACAGTCTGGATTCAACAGTTCATAGCTTCAAACACATTTTTCAATGTCCAGTGCTGACACTGTGCATCATTAACACTTTTTTTGCTGCACTGTATTGATCCCGATTTCTACTTGAGTAACGTTAGGCTATATTTTCTGTAGCAGGTGATTAAGGGGTGGTGAGAGTTGGCAGGACCTGTTGACACTGTATTATTGAGCTTGGCACATCTTGATGGTAAAACACACAGAAAACACCACAGATTTTCAAGGTGTTCAAATCTCACATTTTCCATGATGGAAGTCAGTTGTGTCGCTTTTATCAGTGTCTGTGAGTCTTTAGTCGTTGTCAGGATGGAAGAAGTCCTTGGTAGGTGCACTAGTTTGGAAGAAATCGTCAAGTGGAACTGGTGAAAATTTTTCTTGGACAATAGATGTTTTGTTTATGTTTAAATGATGCCCTGATATAAATGATACACCTGGACACAAACATAGCAACCATGGAATGCTTGGCCTCAACTTTGTCGATATGTTTAATGATGCCTTTTATCAACAAGTGGTTTTGTACTTTCTTCTATTTTGGCGTGAAATGTGTTTGAGTGTAAATGAGATTGTAATAAAATTAAGGATATCCTGCCAATGCACATTTTACGCATGTGGTTGAGCAGTGTCCCTTAATCATCCTATAAATTTTCTAACATTGTGAATACCTAATATGACTTCGGTGCTTTCTACATGTCAGGTGGGTGTGCTGTAACACATAGATTCCAGGTGTAGTAAACATGTGGCACACAGCAGCAGTCTTCAGGATGAGTCAGAGCTATCAGCACATCTTTACTTTCAGCAGATTCCTCTGGAGGATTCAAATGTATGTTTCTGTTTTCTCAAGTTTATTATTAGAAGGACTTTTCAGTCCTGCCTAAATGCAAAATCTAACAGTATTTGCAGCAGTGTCTTCGGGCATTATTGTGAGAATTCTAGTAAAGTGCACAATGCACATTAATCACATTTATATGCTTAACACTTAAAGTAAACAACAAGAGATAACTGCGACAATAACAGGCTATTCAAAGCAAATATTGTACTGTGTGGGACAGTACAGTCAGTGTAGTTAACGTGTCATTGCACAGAAAGGCCCCTCTGGTCATTCAGGAATTTCACTGTTTGGTCAAACAGACTCTAAAGTAGAAATTCAACTAAAAATGTTTATACTGACAGCATGGACGAACTATGAGACAATAGGCCCCTGGGTGCAGACATGTAAAAGGCCCTACCCCTCCCACAATGGAGCAAGTGCCCCAAACTAGAAGAGACACAAACAAACAACATTGGACATTTTTTTTGTCTCTGTTTGCAATTGTTTTGCATGTCATTGTAGTATTTTTGTTACTGTCAACCTATGTGATTGTGTTGTGATAATGCTACATTTATTTGTTTTCACGTTGTGCTTCTTTTTAGTTGTTTTCAGTCAGTGTGGTCATTTTACATCTCTTTGCAATCAATCTGCATTTATTGGATGTTGTTTGGTGTGTTTTTGTAGTAGTTTTGCATCTCCTTTTGGTTGTTATTTTTCTTTTTCAAGTCATTTGATTGAATTTTCAACAAGAATTAGCAGTCACCCCAAACAGAGGCTAGGACACAGGGGCCCTATAAACCCTTGGGCTCCTGGGCTTGTGCCCAATATTCTGTTTCATAAGCCATTCATGGGGGTACCTAATATACCTAATAAACTGACAATGGGGCGTATATGTTCCACACTTCACACACTGGATGGCAGTAACGTGCGGTTGAGTTGTTATATTACTGCCATAAAAGAAAGAAGAGAAACCGGAACCCTTAAACAAAGGTGTCACTATTCAACTCGGATTTGTTTATCGGTGACACCTTGAGAACAGCTGTTGTGATCGGCTAGTAGCCAGTTCCAGCGATCTGGCTAAATTAACTATATTTCGGGTTTCTCCTGTTACATTACACAGGTTAGAGCACCATTATCTGGATTCAAACATTTCGATTGTTGGTGGTGGGATCATTACTTTATAAAATGTCAAAAATCAAAGCTAGTTAGCTAACTAGCCTCTTCACTAACGCTTAACTTGCAACGTGTTAGTTCATCCTAGACGTTCAATCCGTGGCTGACTAGTTGATGTTTTTTTTTAGCTCGGTAGTGTAGCTAACATATAGAAAGTGCATTTTACAAACATTATTGCTACTAAACACAAATGTTACTATTGGTCAATCCAACCAGTCAGCCGGTATGGTAGCTACGTTAGCTTAGCTTGAACGTCGTGCTACTAAACTCAACCTGCAGTCAACGCCTGCACACTAATGATCTAGAGTAAATGTTTGTAATTAACTGTCACGATGTGTTTTTCTTTTCAACTCCGCAAACTACACTCAGAATCACTTTTTGTATTTATTCCTCGTGTCCAACACACCTGGCCAATAAAGCTGATTTCGATTCTGATTTAGCTATACACTAAAACTGGCCCTGTGTATGTTTACCTTTTCTGTTTGCTAGCAGTTTGCAAGTTGTGTAAATCAAATCAGTGACTTAAATGTTGAGTTTATCACCACATAATCTCAGTGTTGTTTTAAGTAGTTTGCATTTTAATTGATAGTAATCAAAGTGTCAAAAGTTGCATGCATGTTATCTTAAAACCGTCAGGTTGATTGAGTAGAAGACCATGGAGCCTGCCTGCCGTAAAGACAAGCCAAAGCTGAACTCCACTCCGACCAGAGGAGACAGAGCCAAGCAGAAATCTGCACAGCAAGAGCTCAAACAGCGACAGAGAGCAGAGGTGGCCAACATCACTGTGTTTAAAGCCATCTCTCTCACACACTCACTCACACACACACACACACACACACGCATTGCCTCCCACTCCAGTGTAATTGACTGTGTCTACTTTCCTTTGTTTCCAGATTTATGCTTTGAACAAGGTGATGACAGAGCTGGAGCAGCAGCAGTTTGAGGCCTTTTGTAAACAGATGCAGACACAAGGAGAATGATGAGAGTCCTGCTGACACTGCCTTCCGCTTTCATCAGGACCAGGGCCTGCCACCCTCCAAAACAACCATGTATATAAGATTTTACCTATTACACTCATGCATGTGGGTTAATTTATGGTGCTGCAGATAACTTTAAATTACACAGAGGGTTGCAGACATTCCTTACAGTAAATATCAACCTCTGTTACATTCATGTAAGGACTAAACTGAGCTTGCATGCTCTTTTCACCTCTGTTCAAATTCACCTTTACATTAATGTTTACAACGGTAGCACTGTGTTAACAGTTGATGAAAGGGCAAAATGTATAGTTTCTTAGTGGTTCACTGACCTACCAGATGAAAGCACACTTCTCAGCCATTAGTTGCATCCCTCTGTAGATGTAATTAAAGCTGTATTAGGTCATTTTTGACAGTAGCAGAGGGGAGATGACCAGGAATGGGAACATCAGTTTAGCATATTCTAAACCATTTAAATTATCTCACCAGAAATGAAAAGAGCAACACGAGCATCCACCTGAAGTCCTTGTTGTCGTCCACTTGAATGAGTCCAGTGCTTACTCACTGTCAGCTGTGGATCATGGTTAACTGGGCCCATATTTATCAAGTGTCTCAGATTAAAAGTTATTGGTAAATGGCCAAAACCTCTCAGTGATGCAATTTCAGTCCTACTTTTAGGACTAAGAATAAAGTAATCTTATCAACTTTGTTAGCCATGTTCATCATTCCTATCTCTGCTTCACTTGAGAAGCCTTCCAGAAGAGTCAGACCTGTTAAAAGTGGAGAGGAGATGTGATGTTAAACTTACTGCCTTAACTTTTTGTAACTGACTTTGTGAGACATACAGGGCAGAACAAACGCACTCTGTGCAGAAACCTGTGTCCTCACAATGTTACACAGGGAAAACAACTTTTCAACAGTGATAATGCTGCAAAACACAATTTTAAGGCATACTGAACAAAGCAAACTGTGAATTGTCTTGAGGCATATACACAATAGGCATGACTCAAGGTCCCACACTGAGAGTGGACTACACCCTTTATTTTAAAAACTGTGCTCCCCAGGCTGGATGTCACCTGCTTAACTCTTATTAAGGATGTATCAGCTTCATTACAGCCGGTAAAAACTAATATAGGGTTTTAGGTCTTGTTTATTTGTTCAAAATATATAATGCAATGTGAGTAGAAAAAAAAAACTATGTCTCTCGGCTGGCCTGGGAACGCCTTGGCATTCCCCCGGAGGAGCTAGAGGAAGTGTCTGGAGAGAGGGAAGTCTGGGCATCTTTGCTTAGACTGCTGCCCCCGCGACCCGGCCCCGGATAAGCGGAGGAAAAAAAAAAGTGTTCATATTTTTATATTATATTTCACTGGCTTTGCATTTTTCTTACCTGCTACAGGCCACAGGGGATTTTAACATGTTTACTACATGTACAATACATCAAAGATGCAGCACTATTATAGACATTGTAAAACACTGTGCTATATCAAATTTTCATTTGCATATTAATTTATTCTTTAACCAAGCAAAGTGCTTGCCATAAAATACATATGTATGTGGCTTGTTAATTGTTATGAGATTTAGCTATTTATTAATTTAGTTGTCATGCTTTTGCATATATAATCTTGATAGCTAGTTTTTGACTATGCATAAAACCTAATTATAACCTCTACTATTTTCTGTAGTTTGATGTTGCCGTCCTCGAATACTCCCAAATCCAACTGTCAGAAACACTCATTACCCATTTAACTTTGATTTTGTAAATGTATGAAAACAGCAACCTCACACTCTCCACAAAGAGTAGCAGAAGAAGCTTCAGTAATAACTCTAAAGTCTTACTCTGAGGTAGGAGTGTTTGTAATCTCAGGGTGACCTTCAGCCTGTTCCTGAGGAATGACTGTGTGACACCTGATAAATACAGGCACTGACCAGTAGTACTCAGCTGGCTTGTTTAAGATTCTACATGAAGAAACTTAAAATACACAGTGAGGCTCAAACATGCCAGCTGAACATTACTTGCCCTTTGTAGGTTATTGTCATCACCCTGTTTCAGCATCTCACCTCTAGCTACCGTACAAAATCTCCATTCACATGAAAACAGTTCCTTTATCAGTTTGAATGGTGATTGAAAGGTTTTCGTTCTGCTGCCTTTGTCTCTGTTGTCATTGCATTGACACTAACACTACTGCAGTTAAATCATATTGTTGGCTCTATTATCTAAATGATGCCATACTAGACTAACATGCCATGACAGACAAATGGTCTACTAAAGCAACAAATCACCAGTAGCATCCGCTATTAGCCATAGCCTGTGGTTCTAAGTAGGGACAACAGAACAAAAGTTTGCTTAAAACAGACAGTACCCTTAATATGTCAGTGTTAATAATGATCACCTTGAACACTAGTTTGTGTATGACATGGTGGGCAATGCCAAATGGACTGTACATGAAAGGCTTTTGCATATTGTCAGTCACAAATTTTGCAATGCTTTATCGATGGCTAATGACAGCACAATATATTGTCTAATACAATATGTCGGTCACTTTTATATGAGCTATATTCTGTTTTAATGACAATAAAAGCAATTTGGCCTCAGTTACAGTCAGGGTTGTTTGATCTGCTGTATTCATGTTTGAAATTTTACATGTCTGCGACTATAAAAAGCTTCCTCTGAGGAAGATCCTACACAGGATTCCAAAATTTAATCCAAAGTCCAAATGTATTAGTGTTATAATTCTTTTACAATTTTATATGTTTTCTTAAAGAGATGCAACTGTCTCTTATTAGCTCATGGTTTTGTAGTAAAATCCAAATTTTGACTTATTCTCACTTAAAATGATAAATTCTTACTTTGTATTTGTAATTATACACTAATGAAAATAAAGCTTTAGACAGGAATCTTTCAAAAATACACACACTTACATGTATTTGTTTTTGTTTGTGATTTTTTTACAGTCTATCCACCCCACAGTGTTTCTCATGTCATGTCTGTGTTACAATGGTTGTCCCTGGGTCACACTGTTGATAACCCCTGTATTATATCATATCTTAAAGGAAATGATTGAAAGTAGAGTACAAGTACTCAAAAACCTAAGTCTTGAAGCACAGGTTCAAGAAACTTGTACTTGTGAATGCTTTTTGTGCTTCATTATGCTTTTATTTCAACATTTCACAGGGAAATATTGCACTTTTTATTGTGGTATACTTATTTGATAGCTTTAGTTACTAGCTTCTTTTCAGATTAAGATACTCCAGACTAAGTATTTAGGTACTTAACATATTTTTGTTCCTCAGGCTCTCTGTTTCAGCATATTCAATTAAAGTGCCACGTCTCTGCATTAAATGAAGTTTACATCAACATATAAAGAACTGTGTGGAAGATGTCATTTTAACATAAAGCACCCAAAGTTTAGGGGTTCAAAAGTAACTGGACAGATACACAATGAAGTCAAACAAAATGTCCATATTTCATATTTTGTGGAAAATCTTCTGCAGCCAATGTCTGCTTGAAATCTTGGACCCACAGACAGTAGACACTATATTTTTCCTGGTGATTTCCTCACAGGTTTTCACTGCAGCCACCATACTGTACCATATTGTACAAGTTTATCACACTGGATGTTTTTATGTTCATCTTAATGTGAAGAGAATTCAACTACTAGGCCTACAGTATGTGCCAGATAAGCACAGATATTTTGCTTTAAAATGTTGTGAACTAAGTCACATGTACTGGAAATACTCAAAGTACCTCAAAATTGAACTCAAGTACATTAATTGAGTAAATGTGCTTAATCACTGTCAGGAAGAAAGCCAATGTGATATTAAGTCTAGTTGGTGATAACAGTGTGCAGAGTCACATGTTCAACCACCTACAGTCAGTTTCTTGTCAATGACAACAAAGCACAGCCACATACACTGAATTCAGTGTTAACAGTTCCAATTTATTTCATCACTCTGATCCCCATTTTAATGGTAACACTTGATGTCACAACGCCTACACCCAAACAAGTAATTTAGTGTAACCTGAGGATGTGCCACTGTGTAGAGGTAGCAGTTAATACATTATGAATAATGACTATGCTGCAAGCAGTAGCATTAAGGTTTAAGGTTAATAAAGCCAAACTGCCACCATGCTAGTGTTTTGTGGCATTCCAGCAACAGCTTATGGAACTCCCTTACCGTGTTTATACTGTAGTTACAGTGCTCCTAGCAGCAGTATGTTTACACAGAATCAACAGCAGTCAATGATATACTGAGGTCTAAGCTACAGCAGGTGCATAAGACAAAAGTGGTCCTTTACAGCACTTTAATTACTCTAGTTTTCTGTCCCACCCCTTCCTCCTTCACCTTACCAGTATTCCTCACTCTTTCATTTGGCTTTCACTTTTTGTCCTCTCACTCAGACCTCAAGAGTAACAGAGCTCCCAGTGACCCGGACTCCATACCAACCATCCCAGTACTTGGCGTCTTGTCCTCCGTGTTCAAAGGAGATGAAACGCAATCCGGGGCCGTATTCAGAAAATGTGTGGCTGATCTGGAGTGTGAACAGAGACCGAAAACCACTGTGACCTGTACAGCCGGGTGTGCGTATCATTGTACGTGTCTAATATACTGAATGAACTGAGAACTCTCCTGTCTGTGTACCTGTTTCCACGAGCAGTCATCACAGTCGGGGTTGAGACTCAGACCCTCCCGTTTGAACTCTTGTATGACTTCATGATTCTCATCTAGCAGAGTCACTAAGATTTGGTAAGTGCAGCCACAGTCTTGCCTCCCAGAGTACCTGCAAGGTGAGCCATACATTAACCAGTGTTTATGTCTGCATCAGATTTATTATCTTTAGGAATTGCAGTCTCTGAGCCCGCACAGTTCAAGTCTCACAGAGAAGGTACATACTATACATGCATGTCACACCACCTCTGGCTTACCAGTCTTCCACTGTGACAGGAGGCTGCGCATCCAGCTGTTCACAGCAGTACCCCTCCGCTAACAAGTCGATCACCTGTCCCTTCAGACACAGTCTAGGACACACATTTTTTCACAAACAGGATGGGTTTGCATGCATATTAAAAGAGTTACTTTGACAGGAAAATGAAATATTCAATATTAAATGAGAAAATGACAAAACATTTTGAAAAGACACTAAACTGAGAAGGCAACAGGATTTATTTCATTGTGTGTATATAAATACACACACACACACACACCTGTGTATACAAGGCCCTGAAATTCACACTACATGTCAGGACAAACCAAGACATAGTCCTGGGACCTCTCTATTGACCATCCATTCATCAGCTATACCACTTATCCTGCAGAGGGTCGCAGGGTGGTTTTTGCTGATCCCAGACCTCCATGATAAAATTTTCCACAATGGGGACTTCTTAGCAGTAGAGACACTGGTCAGAACTGTTGTCAAGAGGGCCTCAACAAAGTATTGAATTAAAGGTCTGAATACCTTTGTAAATGACAGAGTTGATAATAAACACTCACTCAAAGGAAGTTACAAAGTACTTGGTCACTTCATCATTGCAAAGGTTGTAACCACAGTCTCCGGGCATGTCCTCCACCTTCCACTGGCACCCGCCGTTCTCTGTCAGCTCCCAGAACTCCAGCTGTTCTGAGAGGGAAATGCAGTCTATAAGTAGTATTATGTACTTTCTGTGTACACTATCAAAGTTTCTCTGAGTCGAGATCAGTTTCAAGATCAGACCTAATCCAGTTTTGTCCAAATCGGACTTTAGGATTGAGTGTGAAAGTTCATTCTTGAAGCTAGAACTAGTACTTTGACAAAATAAACTTAGTGCAAAGTCTATATATTAACCTTTTCTAGGGCATCAACAGCATCTCAAGGGGATGAAGTTAGTATTATTATCCTTATCTAAATGAGAGCTAAGGAAAACAATATAACTCTCATATCTATCAAAGAGACAGGAGATGATTCATCGGTGTGTTGTAAATATCCTAGTAGGCAGATTCTATTACATTCAGATGGAGCTGGGCTGACTGTTTTTCTGTTTCTTGTCTTTATGCTAGCTTACAAAATCAGTCTCCTGGTGGTAGCCTTGTATTTACCATACAGATATAAAAGTGGTATCTATCTTCTTATCCAAGTCTCAATTAGAAAATGAATAAGCCAAACATTTGCTTTATGATTGAACACAGCTTTGTTTGCAGCAAGCATATTTTAAACCATAAAGTTTTAAGTGTGTACACTATAGTAAGCATCACACCCTCTAGAAAGATAATGACACCTTACCTTCCCCACTGGGATTCTTCAGCAGGTTCCTGGACATGACCACAGCTTATACGGTGAAGGCAGGGGCTGTACAGGAGAAACAAGAAGTAGCAACAACAGTCTCCTCCACTGCAGTCTTTGGCAGACTGTCATGAGCCCATCCCCCATCTATCAGGCACAGTTTTTATTCATCACTCCTGAGAGTACTCATTATGCAGAACGGCATATTTCACATTCCTGTATATCATGTCATGTCATGTATTATAATTACTGATGCATTATTGAGTACACCACATTTAATGTTGCAGCTGGTAAAGAGGGAGCTAGTTTTAACTAACTTATATGTATTTAATTTGAATTACTGCTGGGTAGCTTGTCAATTTTCCACCATAGATTAATGAAGTCTTATAGTATATTTTTTGTATTAATCTGGTTATGAAAAGTAACTAGTAACAAAAGTTATAAAATAAATGTAGTAGAGTAAAATACAACACTCACTTCTAAAATGCAGTGAAGTCAAAGTATGAAGGAACAGAAAATGAAAATACTCAAGTACAGATACCTTGATGCAGAATACCCTTTTCAGTATCAAAGTATTATCTTCAATAACTTTTTGGCAGATAAAATACTGTATTTTAGTAGTTGTGCTGCCCTTAAGAGGTACTTGTAGTCATGCAAATGTACTGCATGATTAACACTTTCAAATACAACCCACAAGAGTGGGTTGAAGTTATTTTGAGGTAGAATACAGTATCTCAGTATCAGCTTTAATCACTTTTTGGCATAGAAAATACTGCATTTTACTGGTTGTGCTGACCCTTTATAGGTACTTAACATGGTACAAATTTACAGTGTGGTTTCAGATTTTTAAAATATAAACCACAAGAGTGAAATGAAGGTGCAGAGGGAGAATACCCTTTCACAATATTAGCTGTAATCAGTTTTTGGCAAGCGGAGTGCTGCATTTTTCTGGCTGTACTGGCCATATCGGTATTTAGACTAGAAGAAAAGACTACATGGTTTATGGCTGACAATACAAAAATACACAGAATCAGTACATTAATTGCAAAGTGGATCGTTGTCTTTATTTTGTTTGAATAGGTCACATGACTGGGTTATATGGAAAATGTACTATGATACATATACATAACCTACACATGTATGTACTTAGGTATTTTGTTTTTGGCTGGTAATGGCATCTACTTAAAGCTAACTTGTTCATAATTGAATAAAACCCTGCAGCGGAAACAAACATGTTACATATAACCATTTACGACTCAAGACAGCCTGATTGCACTTTAACCTACCACGGCTTCTTTTGGCTACAAGTACAATTATTCCGTTACAATCTCATCAAACGTTAAGGTTTTACAAAGACACACCTTTGTACTACCACTCGTTGGGTCTCTTTTGACACACTATTACGGTTTGATTCCGACTAAAGGAATTGAACGCGGATATAAATCGGCCGATGTGTTTTACCGGGCTGCGCGCGCTCCCGCGGACCTTCATGGCTTTCATCACCGAAACCTTTCAACTGGACGGGGGGGGGGGGGGGTTTGAGAGGGGCCCCCCCGGCGGGTGGCAGTTAGGTTGTGGAGGATGTCCAGAGTTAGTAAAATGCTTGCTTGTTTACCTTACATTATTCTTAGGAGGAATACGAGTGACTATCTTAGATGGACTGTGCATTAACGAAATTAGCCCGACATGGAAATCTGTCTGTTTTGCATGATGTTGGATGTTACGTCAACGTTGTGGCTGTGGAAGAACAAACCTTTCCGGGACTTTCTCGCACAACAGCTGCATGTTCACGCCAAAAAGCAACTATTACACAGCGACACGTAGCCGCAAACTCCACCAGGTATACCGTGTCTGTAAGGGGCTTAGCCAATGGCGGAGCAACTTTGCACCGGGCCTGGGTGCAGACCACACTCCCGAGCTCTCGGGAACTCGGCTGTTCGGGAGCTGAGTCATCCGTCCCTGCAGACGTACAAGTCTAAAGATACAGTAGATGCCAAACGGAAATGTCACAGTCAGATGTTTAAATATATAAGTAAATACCATACTCACAGCTGAAGGAAGGCAAGTGGAGTATTTAGCTTCTGTAATGACACTTGGCTTCTCTATAGAGTAACGCCCCTTACACTGTGACTTTTATTGCCAGGAAAGCGCACACACACAGAGTACTGGAGGGAGGGGGGGGGAGATAATAGGGGGAGAGACACAAAACACCCAGTCTCAGCAAGAAGCACATGCACAAATATGCACAAATGTACACAAATGTACAAATGTCAGGTAGACATATGAACATCAGTAGAAGAAAACAGTAAGTACCCTTCTTAAAAAAAAAAGTTTACATTGTAGATGTCAACAAAAGTAACACAGACATCACTATATCACTGGCACAAATTTAACAATGATGGAAATAAACTATTTACACTTAATACTTCTCCTCCACTATATTTAAGAGGTAAATTCTTACTCTATTACATTATGTAGGACCTAAGCGTCCTGCATGTTCATTTCTGAGGAAGAGTCGAAGTCAGAAGAACCTTTAAAATATTTATTACAACCTTGATGAAGAAAAGCAATTACAGAGCTCTGGGTTCTTTCTCTATCTGAGGCCCTGATTCTAAACAGCAAAACCGTTCGACCTGCCTTCAGAGCAAAGAAGAAGAACCCCTCACTCCTCAACCCAGTCAAATTAATACAGTTTTTGGAATATGCAAATGATGGTAGATCTGATGTCATCCGCGTTGTCCTTCATCCTCGCTCCTTGGTTGGTTTGTTGACCTCGTTCTGACCCCTCATTTGGTGATCTTGTCACCAGGCAGATTTTGATCTGTGACATTCTCAGAACACATCCTTACCTTTCAATAGACAGTTTTAGAGGAAGCACCTCAAGCGTTGCTATGCAACCTGGTCTAGTTTCTGTTTTATGTGCTTTCCTGTCTGATTCTTGCAGCCCACACATGTCTCCTATATGCTTCAAGACCAGTGAACTGGTTAAAATGAAAATAAATCATAAAGCATATGATACTAAAGTAAACATGTAGATATATTTGCTAATGCAGATTATGTCAATCCTAGAATTTCATATAATGTTGATAAATGTTGATAATCTAAAGCCAAGACAATAAGACCTTACACCCACACACAATTCTCGTGCAGACAGTTTAGTCATCTCAGTATGTATCTGCACGACTTCCTGTTGTTCTGAGTCTCTCTGCACCTCCTCACAGCATTTCATGTCCACAGGTCAAATCTTTACAAAGGTCAAACAGATTAAACAATTATTTGAACAGTTTTGCAAATACATAACATAGCACTATATCATTTTATCAAGAATTTCTTTCTACAATTACTAGACTTCTCACATGGTTTCATTAAAAAAAATCACAAAAAGTCCAAAAAATGAATGCATATGTGTGTAGCAGAGCTATATCTTTGAATGTTGATTTTTGAAATCTGTCCCACTTTCAAGATGGGGCAACACACTTTTTCATTCTTATTGGCAGGCTATATAGAGTTTGGTGACATCATGTAATTTTCAGCATAGGTCCACCCAGTTGCAACCTGACCAGGGGTGTGAGTGACCAGCTGTGTGCCTGTGCATGTGACTTCATGATGTAACAAATCTGTGCAAGGCATTAAGTAGCAGCTAGAGCATATTTCATTCACACTTTTCTTCACTTGAAGTCACTCGCCACTCAAAAATGTGCTTTGCATATTTCTCATTGTGGATGTTTGAGCTCCACTATGTTCAGAGTTTGACAGTGGGGATGTTTTCACATTCACTGAAATCATTTCTCTGTGCAGTGGTGGAAGAAGTACACAGATTGTTTGCTTAAGAAAAAGTAACAATGCCAGAGTGGAAAAATAGTCTATTACAATGAAAAGTCCTGCATTGAAAATGTTGCTTAATAAGAGTTTGAAAGTACTTGCATCAAAATATACTTCAAGTACTGAAAGTAAAAGTACTCATTATGTAGAATGGCACATTTCACATCGATGTATGTCATACTATTGGATTATAATTATTGATGCAGTATTTTGAACATCACATTTAATGCTGCTGATAAAGGTGGGGCTAGTTTTAATTACCTTACATGCTTAGTTTGTCCTATGCTTTATAATGTATTTTGTTTTATTAATCTCATTCTGAAAAGTAACTAGTAAGTTATCAAATAAATGTAGTGAATACAAAGTACAATATTTTTCTGACCTGTAGTGAAGTCAAAGTGGAGGAGCAGAAAATAAAAATACTCAAGTAATGCACATACACCTTACAATTGTACTTAAATACAGTACTTAGTTACTTTACATTTCTATCTCTGTGCTCACCCTAAATCAGATTTTAAACTGTATACAAACAGGCATAAATAGTTTGGAAGCCAATCACTGTCATATATGCAGGGTGGTGTGAAAACCTGAGATGTGTCTGAGAGCACTGAAGGCATCGGGTGGTGATAGTAACATGTGCCACCTGCAGAGGGGGCTGGTGGGCCGCTGTGTAACTTACTAAATGGGGCAAATTACTTAATGGGGAGAAGTGATATCATATGATCTGGTCTAACACTTGTCATTTGAATTTCTGTACACATTTTGAAAAACAAGCTTATTTGAAAAACTCCAAATCTGGATTCTGAGAGTTTGGTTGTGTGGTAGCTGGATCATTGTGATCTACTGGTGTGTTTGTTGTCATAGAGTCGGTCCACTGCCCACACACAGTATCTTCTGTCAACAGTAAGGGGTTCTGTTTTAGCTCTGTTTACCTATAGCAGGCACATCAATCAACATTTTGGATGAGTATACAAAATTAGGCTTTATTCTGGGCCACAACACCAATGGGTCCTAACACAATGAATACATAACATACATTACAACATACACACAGTACCTCCCAATATGGGAGAAGAATAATTCAAGTTAAACATCTCGATTTCATCAGGATTGTCTCGCAGACAGTACAGTACAACATTCAACAAAACTCTGTGCCATAAATAAACAGGTGGTGTATAGGTCATACAGAAGCAGGGATTCAGAAATATCAAACACTGGGACTGCCGACATGGTTTAAAATACACTTTAAAAATGAAGAAATACTATAGCTTTAGTGCCTTTTGTTCGAGGTGCATTTGTTTGTCCTGTCTCAACATAGGCTGCAACAAATGGAGTCTGAGGAGTATTTTCCATAAAAGGATGAGCTTCTAAGGAGCATGTCCTTGTTGTCTTTCTGCAGAAGCTTCAGTCATCATGCTTGGATTGTACAAAGTAACTTCCCCAACAGCAGTGCATATTCAACTGCATGGCCCTTGTAGTCTTTCCTGCTTTGGTATTTTAGTGCAGCACCAGATATTTTGTATTCCAGTGATACCCACAATTGTCCATTCATAAATGGGTGGCCTGCAGTTACATTATTTGTTTGGGAATGTGACAGTAATTCCAGTTTTTTGGAACAGCTGCAAAATAGGCTCCTTCTTAGATTTAAGCTTCAGAGGAAGCCTGGGGTCTGAGCTGGGCCTTCTCCATGGTTGTGCTATATGGATCAGACCTTTTAAAGAAGCCCATCTGGAGGGACACACAGAGATACACAAGTTCAGATACAAGTCAATCAATTTAAGTCAGTCTACAGCAATTAATATTCCATATTTCTTTCACAGATTTTACACTCACAGAGGTTTCTTGTTTTTGATAGTAAAAACAAAGGGGGTGTTTTGCCAAAGATGTTACCTTAGAAAAAGTCATTTCTGGTGGTGACCCATCACAGCATGGGTGGGTTAAGATATAAAAACCTAATTTCTATGGAGTAGACTCCATGTAGTATGTACACTCATGGGTATACCCTTTCTTAACCTTTATTAATGGCAAACCAAATATTTTTCATGCTCCTGTTGAACCATTTTTAAACATTATTGAAACTATGCAGTAGAATTTAATTTGCCAACATGGCTGCTTCTCTCTGCTGCTTTGTTCAGAAAGTGATATTTGAGGTACAAATAAAAACAGTGTTTGGTGGACCTTTTAATGTGTACAACCCATGCATAGGAACAAGTGCAAGAAACATCTTATCTTGGCAGTAAGAAAGAGAGAGAAGTTCAAACACAGCATATTTCTTCACCTCCTCACATCCTGAGGGATCTTCAGACACAGAAACCTCCTTAATTAGTTTACTGAACTGATATAGGCATGAGGTGGTGAGTGAGGCTACTACATAGGTCCCTATAGTAAGGCCAAACCCATGGAGCATGTGGTGTCCTGATTCCTGGTTTTAACAATTCTTTTCAGCTTGTTACCTTGTACAGTAGATATATGAGCAAGGAGAGTAATAGCAGCCCAGCTAGAATAGCCAGGATGATGATCCACACTGGAACAGAGAACAGACTGTCTGGTTTGTTCCAAATCACAGCTGCTGCCACCTGAACAGCACAAAGCCACAGGATTCCAGTGAGTATGTGCAGATGTTGACCACTGATGTTCACATGTAAACAACTTCACATGGTCACAAAAGTGTAGAAACATAACAAAAGAATCTAATGGGGTTACCTTTTTGGATCCCGATGGTTTGAATTTGGGAGGAATAGAATAAGGCATCCTGTCCACCTTGTACTGAATGGAGCACTCCAGAACATACTGCCTATAGGGCTTCTGGACAAGCAAAGGACAGTTGGAAAACTGCTTAATTAGGGACAATATTCAGTGTTTTATAAAGTTTGCATTCATTTTTCTCTATCCTCCAGAGTTACAGCTAAACACTGATCTCATTCTAACATTATGCATATAGTATATTCAAAGATGGGAAGTAACTAAGTACATTTACTCAAGTACTGAAATTAGTTTTGAGATATTTGTACTTGAGTATTTTCCGATAATCAGATGAATAAAAAATACAGTATAATCATAAGCCTTTATTGATCCCTGGTGGGAAATTCAATCTATTGAGCTGAACTTCACATTATAACAGGTAGTTACAGTAACATTAGCTCTACCTTTACCAGCTGCAGCATCAAAGTGATGAGCACAATAATGCATCAGCAACTATAATCCAATAAAATATACATTTATTTGAAATGTGCCACTCAACATAAGTACTTTTACTATTGACACCTAAGTATATTTTGATTCTAATACTTCTGTGCTTTTACATAAGTAACGTTTTGAATTGAGAACTTGTATCAGAGAATTTTTTCTACTGTGGTATTGCTACTTTTACTTAAGTAAACAAACCGAGTACTTCTTTCATCACTCTATGCATTTAAATACAAATAGGTTCTAACTTGATGTTGTTTTCTCAGTCTGGCATTCCTGTACCAACAGTATATATTAGACCAGCAGTGCTGCAGAGCAGAGAGTCCTGTAGTCTCACCTCGATGAAGGTTTCAGCCCAGAGTCTGGATCGTACAGTCAGGATAACACTGTCTGCTCTCTGCAGCAGCCCGACATGACACTGCAGCTGCCAGCACTCCACTGTGGAGCAGCTCTGTGGAGCGACACAGCCAAGCACAACAAATGCAGCATTTAACACCTGTCTTCTCATTAATGATTCAGTTGGCTGATATTAGCCTTGCACTCTCAGCTTCTTCTGCAGGAATCATAGAAATGTGAAAGAATGATTTCCATGTGTGTATTATGTAAAGCACTTTGAATTGCCTCTGTATATGAAAATGCGCTGTATAAATAAACTTGCCTAGCCTTTTGTTTCACTTGTATTGTTTCACTATGTGGGTGTGGGTGTCAATCTAAAAACCTGAAACCAGGCTAGGATATCAGTCCATAATACAGTAAACTGTTTCAAATAAATGAGCCTTCAGTTTGATCTTGTTGGATCATGTATAATATGTTTTGAATGTTTATTTTGAATTTTAGGCTCTGGACCTGATTACACAATTTGTCAAAAATCTATCAACCCACAGTATACAACAAATTGTCCCTTTAGGTTAGTACTGATTTTTTTAATCTCTTTTTATTGCTACATGAAATAACACATTTACAAGACAAAAGACATAACATAGAAGATGAGGCAACAAACATTAGCAAAAGAGACAAAGGGATTATTAAATTAAGTTGTGTGTGTGAAAGTGTGTAGTGTGGGTGTATCCCACTGTGAGGGTGGAGGTGGGTGGGGGGTTAAATCAACACAGGACCAGGAGTGTACTGGTGATGCCCCTGCCCTGAGCCACCAGCACCATGTGAGGCCATCAGAGGGAGCTCTGGAGCAGCATTTTACCTTGTGTGATGTGAGTCCTGTGAATAGTCTTATATTGTATAAGCTGTACGTTTATATTGGTAGTCATGGAAAAGATATTATTACAGATCTTGGTCCAGAAGTCGAGGCTGGGGGGGAGCAACAAATCCTCTCCATTTAGTCGTTGGTATTGTTATTGTTCTGTCTGTATTTGACATTAGTTTATAAAGTTTAGATATTATCTTCTTTGAGTTTGTAAACGTCATTATCTCCTCAATTAGCATGGAAGGTTGTAGTGGGTTGTTGATTATATTGATGTTTGATTTAATTATGGATTTTTAACTTTTTTAGCAGAGGGGTGTAGTTGAGGTTAAGTTCTGGGGAGAATACTGATACTTAAATATTTAATGTTGCCAATGTGAAGTGAGAGGGGGCAGTCTTGAGCTGCAGAATCCCAGGCACCTTCAGAGAGTGGCAATATGGTGGATTTATTCCAGTTTATTGTTCGAAATCCTGGAGAATGTGTTAATAATGGAGAAAGTTTCTCGTAGTGAACTGTAGGGGTCCTGTCAACATAATAATAATTCATTTGTAGATAAATTTTATGTTGTGAGTTGGTATCTTATGTTCCTTTGATGCTATTATTCTGTCGTATTGCTGTTGCTAGAGGTTCAATGAAGATGGCGAATAGAGATGGTAAGAGTGGGCATCCTTGTCTGGTTCTCTGGTGAGGAGTGAAACTTTGTGAGGTTATCCCATTTGTGGTTATTGTAGCTCTAGGTGATGTATATAGAGTTTTGATCAAGTGGATGAAAGACTCCAAAACCAAACCTGTGTATGGGCTGAAGAGAAATGAATCTAAACTTTGTCGAATGCTTTTTCTGTGTCTAATGATACAATTATGGTGTCGGTTTGTTTTTGTTGTGCAAGACTGATTAAGTTAAATATTCTACGGATGTTATCCAAAGCGTGTCTACTTTTAATGACGCCTGTTTGGTCTGGGTGGATTATTATTGGACGGTCTCTAGTGTAGTTGCTAGTGCTTTGGTGATAATTTTTAGATCTGTGTTAATAAGTGACAGAGGATGGTAACTGGAAGGATGGGTTGGGTCTTTATTGGGTTTCAGCAGTTTTCGGCGGGAGTGTCAGGCCAGCCGTATTCATATGTGTCGGTACTATGGAAGTGGTTTTAATTTCTGAGGTAACTCTGAGAAATAGTGGTGATAATACAGTATCTGCCGGAAAAATTCAGTGGGGAATCCGTCAGGTCCAGGTGATTTATTATTTGGCATGGATTTCACTGCTTTATGGAGTTCGTCCAGAGTGATGGGGGCATCTAAGGTATCGGTTTGTTCTCTGGATAGTGTTGGTAATTTTATATTGTTTAGGAAAATATCTATTTGAGATGGATTTGGTTTGTGATCAGAGGAGTATAGTTTGCTATAAAATGCTTGAAATACATTGTTAATATCCTGTGGATTATTAACAGTTTCACCTGTAGAGTCAAGTATGGATGTGATGATTGTACTGATTCAAAAGTAATGTCAATGTTCAACGTTCAAACAGTGGCACATGGATGCTGGAAAACATCTTCATGTGGTTGCATTGGGATATCTATGAGTTGTCATTTGAAGCAAGCCGTACCAAAGCACCTCAGTAAATCACAAATCTAATTGAAGTCATCTCACAAACAATTACAGCAAACAGCAAGGGATGTTGACCAGACATCATTATATCCATTCTCATTTCCTCTGTTGAAAGGAATATTTTAATTATAATGTTCAGTTTTATCATTTCACTTCTGAGAGCAGAAGGCACTACATACAGTGAGTGTGCAATGCCCACTCAGCAGGGCCACAGTAATGACAACACATATGAAATCCAGTGGGACTGAACACCCAACAGTCACTGACTTTATTTAGAGCTTCTGTTGTGGTGAGTTTAGAGTGAACAGCTCTACACACATGTGACTCATGAGTCACAAATGTTCTCAAGAGGCCAGAAAAGAAAAAGTAAATCCATCAAAATTGGTTGTTTTGCGAGTTCATACTTTGAAAATGGATAGGTCTGCCATCAGACAAGAAAACCCAAATAAAAATGACGGTTTTAAATTTTTGGAAAGCGCATTTTTGGCTTTGACAGAGCTCGGTGAACAGTGTCACCCTGTTCTCAGTCTTTGTGCTAGAACAAATTTAACTCTACTGCTTCTGGCCACACTGAGGTGAAACTCATAACAAGCTTCTCTGATTTACAGTAAAGGCTAGGTATACCGTTCAGAGGGTGGGTAAACAGAGCAGTTTATAGTCTCCGATTTTACACATCAAAGTCTGTTTACAGGTCTTGGGGAGTACTATTGCATATGTGAACAAAGTTGTATAAAGATTTTTGTGACTCTCAAATCTGATATATTGCTTCAAGCAATGTCACTTGAGTTAGAAGCAGCTGGAACTGAAGTCTTCATGTGTGAAAATGAAACAAATCTGGCATAAGAAAGAATTAAACCCACCCCTCATCTCTGCTTGAGGCTACATGTTTTAAGCTACATTAGCCACTGCTAGCAAAACACACCAGAATTTTTTGAACGAAGTGCTGGCTGTTGAGCTGAATTGTGGGTAATGTGGGATTTTGACAACACTGAAGAATGTGTGCCACAGCAGTGAATCCTAAAACCCAGATCTGAGTCAGCATTTCTGTACTTTTGGTTCCCTTGCCCCGAAGTCAGCAAGTTTTTTGAATGGGTTTATGGTTAGACGCTTGAAATAAGGTCTGTAGTTAACACATGGCCAGTACATTTTCACGTTTTGTTCTATGAGATAAAATACATTGGTATAATACCCCAGTCATGATTTTAATGCTTTTACGTGTCTTAAAAAAGGCAATTGCTGACAAGTGGCTAAATGAGACTGCAGAGGCTGTCTGGGATTTTACATATCACGGAGACTCATCTAATTACTAGCCCGCCTTTGCAGCCTCTTTATTTTTAAACTCACACACTTGCAAACTATTCTAACTGACGGACACAGCCAGGATCAGGTCATGCTAAGAAGGCAGGATATTAAAGAAGAGGTAAGCAAATTAAATCAAATTACAAGTTGGAAGCCTAGGTGTAGTTCTTTTATAGCCTTGCAATAGCTTTTCACTTCTGGCGATCGTATTTGAGCTTAAAAAAACATAAAAGTGGCGTTCAGTGGTGAAGATTATCTTGTTGAACAAAATGTCTAGGTGTCATAAACCATTGTTTGTCACAGAGCTTATTTTCCACAATAATACAAAAGCCTATGGAAAAATCCCACTGGCTTTTTGTTGAGGGAACCAGGATGATGCAAACTTCTGGGTTGGCTTACAAAAAACATCATCCCTATTGCACTCTGTATCTGTCATTCTGAAACTTTTTTTAACTGTTCAATGTAAATCCAAGAGTGTTATAGGAGTTACATTTGGTGAAATGCTTATTTACTGTAATAAGCAGGCATGTATTAGGTATATGAGTGTCCCTGCACACACAAGGCAGAAAATGTATTCTCGTTTATTTCTATTTATTTGTCTCACCAGGTTTCCTTGATCAGCCAGAGGATCTCTGTGTACCTCCTTCCTCCAGATGTGGTGCTCAGTGCTGGATTTCAGTGAAGTGGGACCCTCTGCTGCTGGAGGCTGGAGCTGTACACATAAAGACATTGAGAGAGTCCTTAACAAACACAGTCACCACACCAATCTGTGTGTGTGTATGTGTGTGTGTCCTCACTTTGAGATTCAACACATTGAAGGTTGTTTTGGAGGAGCAGCTGAGCGGCCCCTCAGTGACCACCTCCACTGGGTAGAGCAGCTCGTGCCCGTGTGCCCTCAAAGGACACCTCACTTCTAACATTGACTGGCTGACGTCACTGGGACCATTATTCACCAACTGAAAGAGAGAGTTTAAACTGAGATGCTGTTTCTTCACCTGCTTAAGAAACATTAAAGGCTTTTGAAATAATCCTGCATGAAGTATGGCCACACTGCATGTCTGATGCAGGTTAAAAAAAGATAAATCCAATTTTTTAAGGTATAATGTGTTTGTGTTTGGGGTGGAGAGAGAGGCTAAATCTCCTACCTTATTTTATAAAAACAACAACAACAACAAAGGCAAGACACTCCCCAGGTGTTTCTTTGGGCTGTACCTTTTAAAACATCCTTCCCTCCAGTACGTTATCTCAAAACAATATATTTATTATGGAATCCCAAGTATTCCATGTAAATAAATTGTGTAAAATGTATAAACAAGCAAATAATTTGTGAAATAATTTAATAAAACACAGAAAAACTATTTCAAAGACGTTTTAATAGATAGATTTTTTTTTGTGTAAATAAAGCTGATCACAAAATCCCCATTCACTCTTCTGCAAAAATCCACCAGGTGATACAAAATGATCCTTTTTGTGTCACCTGGCATATTTTTGTTGTCACAGGTGAAAGAGGTGTGGGTTCAATCCACTCCAATCCCACACAGTCTTTCTGCCCTATTATTTAGCCACATCAACACTGGTAGTCCTAAGCCAATTACAGTGGGTACAGTGACTAACAATTTTGATATAGTCCCTTACTAATCACTGAATGGAAATTTTAGTTGAACCACATTTTTATTTCAAACATCACTGAGAACAAACAGGGGAGATCAGTAACCATAAGAAATCATGATGTACTTCATAAACCAGCTGAAGCTCAGGGCCGATATCCTGCTCTTCCCTCAGATTGTGATGAACAGTCCAGTTTGGAGGGGGAAAGATGACTTTGTCTGGCCGAGAAACACTGGAAGAGACACAAACGCACAGTTTAGAATTTCCCCTGGCAGGAGCCACAGTGATAATACAATTGGGTGCAGAAGCTTGCATCCCCTTACTTTGAAATGGCAAAAAGAGTAAAACAACAATATTTTTCTCATCAGCATAAAATATAGTGCACATACAGCTAGTACAAATGTTCCTTCATCAACAGAAGTAACAAAGGGAGTGTCAGGGAGTGTATAAAAAGAAAGCTTTAGCAAAATAATGAAAATCATGAAATGTTCTCTAATCCTTTGTGTTATGGTTTAGTCCCCCTCACCAGGAGGGTGAGGCAGAACTGGGGTTGGACTCAAGATGGCTGACCCAGGTGCCAGTACAAAAAAGGTGGTTTAATGGAATAAAAACAACATGACAACATAACAGGGTCCATAATACATACAACAAGGGAAGGGCAGTGATGACTAAGGAGACCAGGACGAACAGGTAAACACACAAACTAACGACAGGAACTAGGATAGCAGGAGGATGAGAACGGACAGGTGAACAAAAAGAACCAACGTAAGCAATGCAATCCACAGCACAGAGACTGTCAGCGTGGAAGACAAAAGGACATATTGCTAACCGCATAATAGCGTGATAAGGTCAAGCCAAAACGCACAGGAACTGTCAGCGTAGCATCTTAAACACGTATAAAAATGCAGGTCAAACACAACATTTATCTTAGTTTGGGTAAGTATTGTCCATTACATGTCGCAATGCTCCGGCGACGACGGGGCGTCTGCCAGAGGTATAAATAAGGAAGCCAACAAATCACCGGAATACGCCTCAGGTGTGCGCACCGACCCACGAGTCACTAATTACCCGATGCGACACAGCTGAGGCGTTGATCCAGCAAAAAGGGAGAGCGGAAGAGGAAAAAAAGAAAGAGAAACAGGTCGTGCCGAGCGGACCTGACACCTTTGTATGTCCTCCGTAACCTCCTCCAACCTCTTTGGCCCTCTGAGGCCCTCTGAGCAGTGTTTGGATCCATTCAGGCTGCTTGGTTGTTTGTTTTGTACAGCCCTCTTCAAATTGATCCACAGGTTTTCAATAATAATGTAACTGAAAGAACCACAAGGAAATTTGCTTGAGCTATGTAAAAATTCAAAACAAACAGGAGGGGATCTGACAAAGTCCTTAGAGGCTAGTAAGACTCCACATCTCCACTGTCAAGCATAGCTGGCACATGTCTGGATTGTTTGGGATAAGAGCAGGCAGGAAGCCATTGCTTGCTTCTGTATATAAGGCAGCAGGCTTGAAGTTTGCTAAGGACCAAGATTATGTGGTCCGATAAGACCAAAGTTGAAATATACAGTCATAATTTGCACAGGTATGTGTGGTGAGAAAAAACTACAAGGAGAGGAATACATTCCCACAGTCAAACATGGTGCAGGCTCACTAATGTTTTGGGGGAGCATAAAGTGGGAGGAAGAATGAATGCAGCCCGATATCAGAAGATTTTAAAGCAAAGCCACCTACCATCAGTCAAAAGACTAACTCAGAGGGTACCCCAAGAGATTGGCAGGGGTTAGGGAGGACAACCAAAAGGATTAGAAAACATTTCATAAAGGGAGATGCAAATTTTTGCACAGATATGATTTTCATTATTTTACAATAACTTTCTTTTTATATACCCCATGGCCATTTTTGTTACTTCTGTTGATAAAAGAACAATTGTACTAGATGAATGTGCATTAAACATTATGTTAATGAGAAAAACATTCTTTGTTTTACTCTTTTTGCCATTTGAGAATACTATATGACAGTAATCTAGTGAAAGAGTTAGCGATGAGGCCTCACCCCTGCAGAATGACATTGGCCATTGCAGCCACCTCCAACTCAAACGACACCACTTCACTCTCAGAGTTATTGGCATTTTTGCTACAACAAACAGAAACACAAAAAGTTGTTTCAGAAAGCACATCTATTACTTGATGGGATAAATTGTTCTTACTGCCCCTGCTTTCAAAATGAGTCCTCAAAAATATTTGTGTGTTTTAGGGGAAGATAAAAGAGAGGATTTTGTTATTTAAAAAAAATCCTAAAATGATTTTTTTTACACATATTTAGCACATAACAAGAGATAAATGATCAATTAACAGAGACCCACCACTAGAACATCTATGTAAGGTATATGTAATGAATCTTTCATTTCATAGTGTCTTTAAGGGCTTGCAGGTAACACAGATGTTCGTATCACCATACAGTACTGGACTCTGTGAAAAGTGACCTACCTTCGTATTTGGAGTTCAAACTGCACAGTTTTGTGGGTGTCCTTCAATCGGGGCACAGTGAACCGAAGGCCGGCCCATAACTAGGAAATGACCCCAGGAAATTCATATGGCCAATCCCAGGAACATGAAAAATGAATGATAAAAATGTAATAAATAAATAAATATTTTGGTCTTAGATGTCATTCTTTTGGAAGCAGGATATTCTTTCTACATAAAAGTGTGATTTATATTTTGTATCAGTGTAGTGTAAAAACACTTTGCTTATGTATGGAGTACACTATACATAAACAATATGACAATATATAGGTTGTTGCCTCTTACACTTGTACCAGGCTTCATGGGGTTTCCCAGATCACACACGAGATACCGAGTCTGGTTTTCTGCCTCATAACTGCATGTCAGCTGTGTCAGGCTCTGGAAAGGAAACAAAAACATCAAATACTGTCAGATCTTTACCTCTGATATAAAAGTTATTTAATACCTAAGCATATGTAAAATATTTCACTCTTTAAAAAGTCTCTAGACATTGTAACACATTTTGGTGTGGCAGACAGCTGTTATTACAGGGATTACAGTTGTTTTTTTTACTCAATATTTTTTATAGTGTATTTTTACTCTGATGGTGGGAATGTGGGTTTTTCACATTGGTTGCTGTACAGCAAAACACAAAATGTGCTACTTTGTTAAAAAACATAGATCACATACAGTAATAAGAAAATAGGCTTGTGAAAGCCACAAACTTGTTATCTCTACTTAGGCCAGAGAACAGTAAAAACTGAGCACTTGAAAAAATAATAATACTCACTGGAACCCAGTGTCAGGCGTTGTGGTGATGTGGTTTGTTAACTTGATTTTCAAACTTGACACAATGCACACACTGTAAAGCCCTGGCTAAAGGTACAGTTACAATGACCGCTGCCCTCCTTACCACATTGGTGCGTGCTATACCGCTATAGTCCGCCTCTGGGGGGAGTACCACAAAGAGCTCCGCCTCGTACGCCCCTCCCTCTCCCTCATTCCTGGCATTGAAGGTCAAACTCAAAGAGTTTTCATCACCCAAGTAAACCTCTCTTCTGTCACTGAGAAAAGAAAGTCACAACATCATCAATACACTTCTGATTTTTTTTTTATCATAACTGATTTGCTGTTTTAAGGTTGTGTACAACTAATATAAGGGCATTAAATCAACAATTGTTTGCCCCTAGTGCATATACTGCAGCAAAATACAGAACCTATGTTCTGTATGAAATGAGTGTGAAATGTTTATTAAGCTTAACATTTTAAAACAGGTTGGTAAATGTAGTAGTATTTTAATCAAATTTTTTACCATTTGGAACAACTGAAAAAATGTTTTATATATTATAGATTTTTTATAGATGAATAAATTTAATCTTTAGTCAGTTTGTCATATTTGTGATGAGCTAGATATTTGAAGCAGCAATCAAACTGAAATATACAGTAAACTAATAACATATTACCATTATATACCAGTATTCATTTAGATTTATGCTGTCTTGGCTCCAATGACCAGTGGCACCACAAGACACTGTTAAGCCTTCATTAATAGATCTGTGGCACCACAACAAGCCGTAAACACAACATCTTATAAGTTAGTTATAAGGTTAGTGTGAATATGTATGCATATGCTTTTAACCATGCATTTGCATCATGGCCACCTTGCTTCCTCTTGTTCCTTGGGAGCGTTAGGTGTGTGTTTCCTCAGAAATTAAAGACACGTGTCTGTGTGATTCAATTCAGTACATGACCAGGGAGTAAGTTCAGCCAGTAATGATTAGGCCCTAATCTACCTCTTAGTCTATATATTTTTTAATCTTCCAGATCCACAAATTATGCAAGCATGTAAACAATGACATAGAGCAGCGCTCGCATTCAAGAGGTGCATGTTAAACACAATCTTTTGAACCGTATAAAACATTAGTTTTGATGATTTGTTCCAAACACAGCAAATAAAAAATACAATTTGAAAGCATAGGTCTCAGAAAATAAATTGTTGAAAACTGTTATCACCAGCCTTGATATATATTGGACATTACTTTCTTTGTATGATTGCACAGCAAACACTGAAACATTTTTACTGGCAGGTTTGCATGGTAAGAGACAGACTCTAATTGGAGCAGTGGGGGTTGGTGAAGATGATGTTTTTTTAAGCGGTTCATTCTCAGTGTGCCATTGCAATATTTCTGTGTGTGGACCACCATGAAGTTGACATTTGTGGTTTTCAGTAAAATGTCTCAACAACTGCTGGGTGGGTTTAGTACGTCATGCCTTCCTCTGGCTGAATTGTGACCACTTTGGTTATCCCCAACTTTTTATCTAGCTCCACCGTCACCTAAAAATTTGTCCAGTACAGTACAACCAATCATACACATAGCTAATCAGATTCTCATCATCTGCCATGCGTTGTCCTTGTTGCTAATTAGCACATGTTATACATTAAGAAAGTCAACATGGTAAACAGACATGTTAAACATCTGTGTGCCTTGGCATTGTGTGCCTGTTAGCATATTGTCTTTGACCTTTAGGCAAATAAAACCATGCCTACAACCTGACATACATGTAATGTAGCTGTTAGCATGGCTGTAGACTTTTCTTATATGGTATTTCCCATGAGTATCACCATAATTTATATTTATTTGTTCATTTTTATCAAGCTTGAAAAGCCCATTTATCTATAGCAATCAAAATGACTGAAAAAGCAGCTTCCACTTACAGCCTATAAAACTGCTGCAGTTTAGTTTGAGCTTTACCCCATGTTCATTTTAAGTCATTTGGTGCAGGGCATGACCAACATGGCAAAGAAGCAATTGTTAAACATAATGGAAAGCAGGAACATGAAGTCTTTCCAGACAATACATCTCTGTTTTAGACAGTCCCCAAAGGCTGTTTTCTCCTGCATATCTGTCCATGGCCAACCTGGGAAATGACCCAAATCTGATCACTGTGATTTGTCTCAGGAAACCGACCCCCACCTTATTCCTCATGTTCACAGTGACACCCCTGTGTGCAAACACATTTTCAGTGTAGTGATAAATCTTCCTGACACACGACAGCCCTCCCCCAACAGCTACACTTTGTGATAGTAAATTTATTATTCTATTGAGTAGAAAGGGGAGAAAGCAGGGTCAGAACCTGGGTTCTTCTTTCAGTCCCTGTTTCCTCCTCCCTTCCCCCATCTTCAGAGGGTTTGGACACAGTGACCCCTCGCTAGGTAAGACAAGCACCAGATGATTTTAATTATGCCCGAGAAAGTTTGGCCAATTCAGAGGAAGCAACACTGAACACCAGCACTGCACAGATGCTGAGAACAGACAGAGGTCTGTGGCATATGGTTGAGATGTGACACTACAATGAGTCTCATGCACTGAGAAAATATAAAAGCAAATTTTAAAGCTCTTAAAGGCATAATTAAAACCAGAAGATATGTACAACTCAGACACCAATCACAAATCTCTGGGCTGTGAATGTTAAACATCACGCTGTTTGCAAATTTTTGGCATGCACGAGAAAATGCTGTGTTATAATATTTCATTGAAAGGAAACTATTTAGTGAAAGTGCTGAATCATTCAAGTTTGGTCCCATGGCAACTACAAATACAGATCTTTGAGTTTTCATGGGAAACATTTTGCACTGATTGTATTTCTGCAGCTAAGAGAAATCACATCACTATGTAATGCAAATCACTCGTCATTAAGAGAGCTGGCTGGAAGGAGAATGTCTGATAGTCTATGTTCACTTTATGAATGAGCTGAGACTGAGACAGCCAAATATCTGGCTGACGTTCATTCACCAACAAAGGTACATGGGTAATTAACAGTAATAAGTGAGTGTGAGCCAGGGATCTTTGCTCTAGATGTGTAGCTTCTTTTCTCTGATTATATTTCACCAAAATCACTGTCTTATCTACAGGTAACCACAGCAACTCAACAGGAAAATGGGACCTGGAGTTTTATACATTCAATTTTAAAACCAGTATGTGTATCCTTGAGACTTAAAAATATATCTGAATGCAATTCCTTCCCCATAAAACATTTTCAAGGTAGGTTTCTTACATATTCAAACCTACATTCTTCAGTTTGGTTGCCATGTTGATCAGTGAAATAATGGGACCACTTTCCACATCCTCTCCAGTTCCTCTTTCAGGCCCTGGTACTTCTCCAGCTTCTCATACTCCTTCTTCTAGGTGGTGCTGTCAATTGGAGCTGCTATGTCGGTCACCACTACCTCCTTCTGTTCCTTGTCTACATGGAACACAATGTCTGGATGGTTGGCCAGTACTTTCCTGTCTGTCTGGATCTGGAAGTCCCACAGGATCTTAACCCTGCTATTCTCCATGACCTTCTGATGAGTCTCCCATATGGACTTGGGAGGGTCTAGCCCATACTTGTGCCAGACACTTGGTTGTGCCATTCAGTGTACACTGTTCCTGCCTGCATTTTACATCCTGCCACTATGTGTTGGACTGTCTCTGAGGCGTCTTTGCACAGTCTGCACCTGGGATGCTATCTGGTGTGGTAGACCCCTGCTTCAATTGATCTGGTACTTAGTGCTGTTCTTGTGCTGCTTTGACCAGTGCCTCAGTGCTGTCTGAAAGGCCAGATTTTTCCAACCACTGGTAGGATTTCTCAGTGTTAGCCACCTCAGTTATCTGTCAGTGATACATTCCATGAAGGACCTTACCATGTAATGGCATTTTCTCTGGGTAGTAAATGGTTTTAAATGATGTTATACTTGTATAACGCTTTTCTACACTTTACAGCACACTCAAAGCGCTTTTACACTACTCGGCCATTCACCCATTCGCACTCCCAAACACTCACACATTCACCCTTTTTCCAGCTAGGCATTGGAGTTCGGAGGGAAGCCTCTGTAAACTGTGACGAGTTTCTGGGTCTTCACATCAGCAGCCTCCATGTCCTCCTTTGGCCAGCTCACTATGCCAGTGTATGTGTTGATGGCTTGGATCTTGTTTCACCCATTGAGATGGCTCTCCAGGAGTCTTATCCTTTGATGGTACTTGATGTTGCTGTCTTTCTTGCCTCCTCATCATGGTTCCCATGTGACTGTGGCATACCAAGGTACTTGTAGGTGATCTGTATGTCTGCTATGTTGCCAAGCTCATATTGCAGTGTTGTTCTCCATTAAGGGAGTTAAAGCTTTAGTAATCAGTTTTTTATATTAACTATAAATTAAATCACAATATCAATGGTTTTCAAAGTGTGAGGTGCACCTGTCCTGTGGGGCACCAGAGGATTTCAGGGTAGGCACAGTGTGAGAAAAAATAAACAAAAACATGAAACTTTTTTTTACTACTGTAAACATCATTCTTAGCTTGGCTATGTGTGGGGCAAAATGAATTGATTTGTAGTAACTTACTTCAGTGAGAGAGGAGACAGAGGGGTTAGCAGAAAACAAAGTATGACAATGATTATTTAAAATTTAAATTTTCATGGACTGGTCCTGATGATGCTCCACTACCACAGTGTTATTTGCAAAGTGGTGCTAGCTAATGGCAGTAAGAGACCATGTAAACAAATTAGGTGATCAAGACATGAGAATGTTTTGATAGAAAACTAGAGGATCACAGAAGAAAGAAATTGAGACATTAGCACTATAAATACTAAGGCAACTGAAGAATTGTATTGCGTTGTGTTATACACAAGGCAGGTTTATGGAATATTCACAACGTGGATACAATGATATGAAAAGCAGCATTGTGCATGGCGCGCAGTGATGATTTGGTTTGGTGGCAACTGAGTTTGATGTGTTCAAAAATTATTGACTGTAAAACTGTACAAATAGGCCTTACAATGTGTAGGAGCCAAGAGGCTATTTGGGTTTTACATTTGTCATGCAGCCACTAATATTGGTGTGTGTGTGTCACTGGGGCACAGCAGTAGAGGACAGATTAATTAATGTCAGCTGTGCACTGGTGGTTGGAAGCCCTCTTTTCTTTTGACCACTAAGTTGGAAGGATTTTTGTCCAGTTTGCTCCATGTTCCACATTATGACTGACTTGTAAGATGATGGTTTGCTTCTTCAATAAACAATCAAACAGTTACGAAGTTGTTTGTTTGGACAACATGCATATAACTGAGCTCCCTGCTCTCTCTTTCAGTGGCTGATTGTTATTTTAGATAGCTGCTGCAACACAATGTATGATTTTGCTGAGTTGAGGCTATTTTAGTAAGACTGCTGTTGTCTGTTTTAATTTTGTGATTGGACTGTGGAGGATTAATTGGTAAATAATTGTTCATGAGAGTAGCCCACAGTTTAAGTGTGATGTGGGAGAACACTGGATACAGATAACGTTTTTTTATTTATTTATGTTTTTTAGAAATCAATGTGTAATAGTCCTTGAGAGTGGAACTGTGGTGGTTTGCTTAAAAGATGTTTCCATTTATTACTGAAAGCCATGAGTGAAACAGTAGGCTTTCATGATCTGCTCTGAGGGGAGGCTTACCCCCTCACTCTTTGAAAACACCTGCACTATATTAATGTGAAACTGAACTCCTGTAAGTCCAAGAATCATCCAGCTGTTCCTATATGGAGCATTTGAGCATCCTTTAGCTCAGTGCTTTGGATTTATGCCTTGTAACTGTTATGATTCAATCTCACTGTTCATTGACCTGACCCTGGCTGCAGCAGGCAGCTGTTTTCAACTCACTGTATGCTAAGTGCCTAGCACCAAACAGTAGACAGAAAAGTTAGCAAGTAGCTAGAGAACAAAACAGAGTGTTTAGCAGCTACACTGTCAATGAAAGAAAACTTCAAAACTAATGCAACGCGCTGCAACATCTGTTTACATTTTCTCAACTAAAAGATTTTTAGTTGTACTAAACAAGTTGAAATTACCTAAAATTAGCAGTCAGGTCAACTTAAAATCAAAAGTTTGTTGTACTTACATTGTTTAATTTGGCGAATTTGAAACAATTTTTTACAAAACATAAATCTAACTCAAAACAGCAGATCCTTTGTTGCTGTGAACTTGAAATTTTAATTTGACTCAAATGTTTGGTCACATGGACACTCACTGCAGACAGATATATTACCTTTTACATTTCTCACTTTTAACAGCCAGTTCTTCATTTGACATGAAGAACGTTTAGCTGCAGCTGTTGGAAGCACCTTTTATCAAAATCAGTATGGAGCATGCAAGGCTGAACCAAGTGATCTTGTTTGCAGTAAGTGTAAGAAGTATGAGCCAGTTGTTTCTCTCAGGAGTTGGCAGAGACTGAAATAAAGCTAAAAGGAAGGTGAATACTGGACTTACATTTGTTAGGTAGCTTGAAAAATGACTCCTAATGTCTGCTGATGAGTATGTACACAATTGCTTGCTAACATGTTACCCACATTCTCAGTTAATACTGCTTTAAACAGTGTGGCCTGTGCTGTGGCAACTTTTTGTGTGTGTTTCCTATAAGTGGTATTGTTTACTTTGACTGTTTAGCCAGGACAGTAACTGCTGTTCATGCTAACTTTGTAATTCTTCTTATATTCCCTCAACCTGAAACACTGTGTTTTATATGATAAATTTAAGAGATTTCTTTAGTATAGATTGAATTGAATAAGGAGGGAGAAAACTACTGATTAGCAGTGAACAGCTGGAGGGGTTAAGTTTTGTTTGCTGAATCAGGTAAATTAATAGAAAGGTAATTTCCTCTCACCCATAAACAGCCAGTTTAAGGTTTGGTACACAGATATTATCCTCTCCACAATCCAGTTGAATCTGGGCCTGAGAAAGAAAAATAAATACAGAGATAAATAGTCAAAGAGAGAAGAGCAAGGGGTGGATATGATGGGTAAAAGACGTGCCCAGTGCCCAAAGGCATGGAGAGAAAAAAAACTTTTGAGGAAGTGAATGTTTACAGAAGTCAGTACACTGGATTCATGATTTCATGAAAGAATAAAAGAGGATATAGACTATACAGTACATATCTTCCATGTGCAGGAATCTGTAACAATGTTTGCAACAAGCAGATGCCAAGAAGTTGTGTGAAAGCAGAATCCTTTCATGTCTGCAGGACAAAAGTAATATGTGCTTTACATGTGGGAAAGAAGAAAAGGAAGAATAGAGACAACATGGTGAATGCTTTGGAGAATGAAAGGATGACAAATTCCATCTAAACAAGTATTACATTTTTGTGGAAATGCCTTGATCAAAAAGAGTGAAAACCTCACATTAGAAGAGAATGGGATTTGATCTGCTCTTTAGTCTTATGTGACAGATGACGCAGTGAAAACCACAGTAAATGATGAATGTGATTTGATTTGACTGTACTGTCTTTTCAAATGCGTCCCTTGTACTGCTTTATTCTCACTTTGTCCACCATTTGTCCCATGTAGCTCCACTCTACTGTCATTGTTGCCACGGCTTCATCTCTCCAACATATGGGAAAGATTAGATTACAAAAGAATGCTACACAGGGCCAGGGAGAGCAAAGAATCAGTCCTGGCAATGGTTAACTGTCTCAGATTCCTCATTCAAGTCCCTGGTTTTACATTCACTCGGGAGAACCATCAGTCATGTAACACCAAACAGATAGGCGCACACACGCTCTGTGATAGACTTACTAAGCTCAAGTGATGAGCTCCAACTGATCTTTCCTGCCTTCTAACCACTTTTCATCTCTGCTTCACTTTCATCTCTTCATCTTCAAGTGTGAACCAGTGCAATCACAGACATCAAAATCATTCCTGGTAGACCATTAACGTTGGCACTCATACACATACTATGTTCAGTGACGGAGGGACAATATCAATTTAAGAACCCAAATTAAGAATTATGGTAACAATTAAAAATTAAATTGTTTACAATAAGGCCTGGGAGTGATTTATATAATTCTATTATTGTCCACTCCATTTATATCACAGGCTAGGCTAAAAAACATAAACACCTCTCTGTATAATGCTGTACACACAAACAGCTTCCATAATGATCACAGAGTTGAATCAACACCTCTCTGAAACAGGACATTATCATTCATTCATTCATTCATTTTTTTTCTACCGCTTAGTCCCTGAACAGACCCACGGGGGAGGAAGCTGGAGTACCCAGAGAGAACCCATGCAAGCATGGGGACAACATGCGAACTCCACACAGAAAGGTCCCGAACCCGGAACCTTCTTGCTGTGAGGCAATGGTGCTAACCACTGCGCCACCGTGCTGCCCAGGACATTATCATAAAGATACAAATTATTGCAGGACTGTTGTATCACACTGACTTATTTTTTTAGCTAATAAACTGACAAATGTCCGTATGTACTGAAACTGCTCTGACAGTGCTCCGTCTACACCTCATTAATGTGCCCACGAGACTGTCGTACATATAGTCATCCTGACAGTTCAACAAGTGACTTACTCAGGCATGCAGACCTCCATCTCAAATAAAAGCAGTACTGTCACTTACAGCACTGAAAAGGTGGAAAACAGCCCTAATACCTCAACTCAAAGTCCTCAGTGCCCTAAGCCTTTTAAACACACAAATATCACACTGAAATGACTGCATGTGCTGTACTGCATACAGTAAAAACCTGGGAATAGACTGACCATGGTCATCATTTTAAATCACAGAAAAATCTTCAGACCTAGATGTTACAATTTGAATCCTGCTTAACAAAAGCTAATAACAACAATACAGAATATAAATATGTTAATTGTCTGTTAGCATAATAATAATAATAATATGAATAACTGGGTGTGACATGATGAAAATTTTAAGTAGCATAACTTTAACTGTTGGTGTAGTCAGAATTATGGCCCACTGTATTGTGACCACACCCATTAATGATCTAATATAATATGCATGAATCAACTGCCACAATATAGAATTTTAACAGCTTGATGGCCCCTTAATCCTGTGTTCTACTGCAGTGTTTTTGTGTGGTTCCAGTGCAAACAAAAGTAATAAACATGAGAATACCAAAGGATTTGTGACTGCAACAATCGTCTGGGAGAAGTGATGCATTATCTGGCAGAAATTCAGAGGTGCCAACATTTTTGGCCATGACTGGATAAATCAGCTTAGAAATCATAGAACTTAGAATTCAAGTCCAAAATGAAGTCAAAGGATGAAATTAAAATGTCAGCCACACATGAAAACAAGAGAGAGAGAATTAAAAAATAATAATTAAATAATGGAAATACAGTAACAGTACTCATTAAGTTAATTATCATGAGGACTCAAAAGCAAGTATGTAAAGGTGTCTTTAGCCAGGATTTAAAATTGGCAACAGATGAGGACAGGGTACACTGTTCCACAGTGTGGGAGCAGCAATGGAAAAGGCTCTATCACCTTGAGATTTGGACTGTGAGCATGGAACGGAGATGAGTAACTGATCAAAGGATCTGAGGGGTTTGAAAGTTGAATGCGGGCTGAGGAGATCTGAGGTTTAAGCTGGTGCCAAACCATGCAGTGATTTTAAAACAAAGAGAATCTTAAAATTAACTATATTTGAATGGTGACCAGTGAAGAGACGCCAGTACAGAAAAAAATCAGACTTCTTTTCCTGGTGCCAGCGAGGAGTCTTGCTGCTGCAGTTTGAACTAGCTGCAGCTAAACTAATGATGACTGACTCCTACATGAAGAGAGTTGCAATAGGCCAGATGTGAGGTAATGCAAGCACACAGAACTGTCTCCAAATGTTGAATGAAACACATGGTTCAATCTTCACTGCTAAACTACTGTGAAAAAAGCTACAGCTGGGAACAAAATCTATTTGTTTGTAAAATTTTAATTAAGAGTCAAAAAGGATTCTTAACTTTATGGCAGACTTTGAAGACAGTGAACCAAGAACAAATTATCAAGGAACCTCTAACAGGGATCTCTGTCTTACTCTCATTTAGTTGAAGAAAAGGTCTGTTTATCCAGCATTTCACTTCTTCAAAGCAAATTAAAAGAGACTGTAGATTATGCATTTCAGCTGGTTTCAAAGGAAAATATATCTGCATCCACACTGCATTGGCAAGGGATTTTGTGTTTTCTAAAAACAGACCCCAGTGCTATCATATACAGTGAATAGGAGTATAGAGCCTTAGTTGGAGTTCTGTGATACAGTACAGGAAACAGTAGCAGAGAAGGGTGAGAAATGGTCTGTTTTGACTGATTCTGATCTGAGCTGCAAATATGTTGCAAGCCAGCCAAGAGCCTTGTCCTGAAAGCCGACAACATTGTTTGGATGTTCCAAGAGTGTGGGATGGTCAGCACTGTCAAATGCTGCAGAAAGGGTCCAGCAAAATGAAAATGGCATGGTTTCCATAGTCTAATGACAGTAGTAGGTCATTTGTTACTTTTAGGCATGCTGACTCCATACTGTAGTTCATCTGTAAACCTGGTTTGTCCAAAATGGCATTTTGCTAAAACTACAGAGAAGTTGAGAAAGGACAACTTTTTCCAGGGCTGTATATAGGAATGATAACTTTGGCATCGGCCAGAAGTACAACTGGATCTAAGTGTTTGATTGTTTGTAGTTGTGTTTGTTGTGTCCTGTTGCTTCCCTTTTCTTTTGTGACTGTGATGTTCTTTTGTCACTGAGATGACGTTTGTTGTGATTTGGCACTATACAAATAAAACTGTATTGAATTGATGAAAGTTATATTCTGGAGTTGTATAACTCTTTTTTAAAGTTCTAGTGATAGTTGTCTGTACATTCCTGGGTACATGGCAAACAGAAACTGCTAATAGCTAATTTGGCATACCTTCAATAGTGCCATCTGACAAGACAATCCCAGTGTACACTATACTTCATTTTATTTACATTCCCTATACCATCCATGGAACATTACAGCATGATTATGCCCCATATACAAGTATGACCAAGAACAACAGTAGGAGTTAAAATCCACTTTTAGCCTCCTTACAGCATGTTCATTCATCACCCTCCTATAGAAAAGATTTGTTTTTGGCCTCTCTTTTCTATAATGGCCATCATAAACCACAAATACTGGTAGATGATCACTAATATCATTTATAAGTAATCCACTTGTCATTTTGCTGTCAATAACATTGGTAAATATATTATCTATTAGTGTTGCATGCTGGGTTGTTACTCTACTTGGTTTTGTAATTTTTGGGTATAAACTACATCTATATATTGTGTTAATAAACTCCTCAGTTCCTGTGTGCTTGTTAGGATTTAACAAATCTATATTGAAGTCACCACATATGAACATTAATTTATGACTTATTGTCAAGTAATTTTCTTCCATCCAGTCATTAAATTTTTCTATGCTGGCTCCAGGTGCTCTATAAATACAGCTTATTACAACATTTTTGTTTGTGCATACCAAGTCATAGCCATCAAGGTCAAAATCCATTCCCCTTACATTATTAATCCATGTTTCAGAAATAGCAATTATATTAAAAGAATGTGTAAGACTACTAAGATAATGTTTTATACTCTGAAAGTTTGCGTATAAACTTCTGCTATTGAAGCTATTTACTCTGTGTGTGCTGTGCTGAAAATCTGTGGACATGGATGAGTTTTACAATTTGTTGTCATGAGTTAAGCTAACTGTCAGTTGAAGCCCGTTAATTCCTCTCGTACATATGAAGAGGCAACAACAGATGAAACTAAAAGTGTTTGCTTTAATGTTTCTATGCTGAGAAAAATCTGTGTATTCAGCTAAAAACAGCCAGTTACAAGTACATGACATACACAGTCATATACCCACATCATATACTCACTTTACCTTATATTTCTTGCATAAACATGTGCGCGTTTTGAGGCTCTGGCTCTTGCCTTGTGGAAGAGCCCATTGGCAACAAACATAAATAAACCACAACCAGATGTCTGAGAGCTGAGAGCCACTCCACCCAAACAGAGCTTCAGTGCTTCCTCTGTGATTTTGCAGAGCCATGACTTTCCAGCCCTCCATAACATCATTAAAAACAGTGCGGTAATCACCTCCTTTTCTATCAGGCCTGACCCTCAGCTTCTAATCATATGGAGTTCAGCAATATGGAAGGGCCGTACATTACATACAGCACATACAGCCTGGATCCTCTGCCTTTGCCATTCAAATATATTTTCTGCATGCAAAATGTAAACAGTGGGAGATGTGCTGTGGTAAGTGAAGTTAAGCACAGAGGACCACTATGCATGTAACAGCCTCTTGTACATGAGTTTAGATTGTTTGGTAAGGTTTTGTGAAAGCAATCATCATGTCGTCTGCTGTCTCTCTGCTGGTAATCACTGCGGTGACCATGTGTTTGGTTCATGAGATGCAAGGCGTGTGGCCATATATTGTAAGTGGTGTTGGTTAGATGTTTAGTGTGGTAATGTAAAATACAGTTCACACTTTACAGCTCTATGCAAAGATACACTTCATTTCCTTGGAAGTTGAAACTTCTGAGATGAAGGCTAGAAATGTAGTTTCTCAGTCTGGATATTTCTGACCTGCATTTATTCCACATTATGTTCAAGCAGCATACAGTGTAAATGCTAAGCAATATTACTTTTAAATGTTTAAAAAACAAAAATGTCCTCATATTCAAGAGTTGCCTGACCTTGAGTCTATCATTTCCTATTACCTTCAGACTCTCACCTAGCCAGCCTTGACATCGCGCACTAGCTGGGACACAGAGACTGCAACTGGGCCTAAACTATTTTAATGTTATTATTATTATTACATCAATGGTGAAAAATGCTTGTATTCAAACTATTTTATTTCACCAACAGTCCATAACCTAAAGATGTTCAACTTACAATCATGTATGAAAAAAAACACAAATTCAAATCAGCAAATCCCATCTGTAAGGCTAAAACCAGAGAGAAAACTCTTTAACTATTCATCAATTTTCTGTCAGATAGCTGACTAATCCTCGTAGCTCTAGCTACAATTAAAACATTTCCAGGACCAATTACTCATTGCTCCACTCAGAGATAAGAAAGGGTACTGCTCTACCCTGTGAGTGGTGGAGGTTATACCTGCCGATGCTATTCAGGGCTGTAAAAACACTACACACACCTCTGCACATTATTCTCCTAAAAATATGCTATTAACATCACATCAGGTGAGACAAAATTTAGTTGTGATGCTGATAATATTGCAATTTACATCTTTCTGAGTTCTTTTATGATTTGTATAGTATATCATTGTACATACCTTCTGTTCAATAAGTTGTTCTGTCTGATAATTCAGGATTGGTCTGAGTCCATGTTGGTCCACTGGGGCTTGAGGATCCAGACTGAAGTTCAGACTAATGTAAATAGGAGAGAGTTTATCCCGAAACTCCTCTTCACCCTGCAACAGAGAAAGATGCAACTATCTCAGTAAATGATGTTAGTGATGGAAATCTGTAAGTTGTTTCCATGGGCTGTCCTGTGTATTAACTGTGAATGAATTGTTTTGTCAGTTCTCAATAGTCTGAAAAACAAGCTGACAAGCTGAGGTAAAACATATTTAAAATGGTTAGTGTTTTGTCACCAGAATACAGATTTCCAGCCTTTTAGTGCAGATTATTGTGAAAATCTGTCCCAAGTTATGGTACAAGAAAAATGTTCCCACACAACATGAGATCAGAAGCAGATGCTCCAGCAACTATTGGCCTCAGTGTAGGATTTTTTTTTAAAGAAGTGACATGAATTCTGTTTGACCAGCCACAGTGATTCTTAATGGTACTCTGAAAAAAGTACAAGAAAGAAAGAATGTACAGACAAACACAGCAAGTGTTGACTGACAGGTGAGCAGATGGTTGGCAGTTTCCACTCCAACCATCTCTTATCCTGTCAAAGAACAAAAGGCTCTGATCATTATATTCCTACAGTTACCATATACACATATGACTTCAGTGTTTTTGTCCAGCATACTCTTTGATTAGTCACCACTGAGTGATGAGAAAATTAGTACTGTAGTAGCTTCACTTCAAATCCTACCACTCAGGAAATGACTTTAACCTGTCCTACCAAAGAGTTAATTGCATTCACCTGGTGCTGCAGGTGCACACCCATCCCTGATTAGACGCTCAAATGAAAATCCGCAGGGCTCGGCATAAGGACTGGTAAATTTGTGAAAGATATAAAAGACACAGACTTGAAATGACTGGTCTGAGTGCACAATATTTTTATGTGTGTAAATCGTTTGATTTAGTCTACACATGACAGAATGAAATATGACATTAAAGGAGTTGGTATAGACTGAAATAAAGCTAAAGGTTTTGGTGGGACTGCTAATATGCAAGGTTTCTACTGTGATACCGCTGTATGATGAAATACAAATGTTGAAAGAATCTCCTGTTCAAAGTCAAGTCAAAGTCATAGGGTTTATTGTCATGTGCACAGTAAGGAAACAAGTGTCCCTGTACAATGAAATTCTTACTTTGCTGTCCACAATGAATGCCAAACAATACACAGTGAAATATAAAGTAGATAAATAGTGCACAATCTAAAGGCAGTTTAAAAACAGCAAGTGAAAAGAAATATAATAAAAATATAATAAGAATATAATAAAGAGAGAATGTATGCTACATCGGAAGCTATATGTGCAACAGTCGGCAATGACATATTTCTTTTCACTTGCTGTTTTTAAAGTACAAGCCAAGTTGACTTGACTTGATGAGGTGTAAACAGACAGCGTGACTGACCCGTAGATAGACCTTGGCATCATGGCACAAGCGTTCATTATTGGCAAGGCTGAAGGGTTTCACCAGACTGGGCTGCTGACTGTCCAGGAACAGAATTCTCTTGATGGACTCCTTCTGATTTTGCTTCACACTGTCCAACTGAATCTCCACCACAAAATCTTGAAACACAGTTATAAAAACACACATGGCAAGAAAAAAGTGAATGTGTACATCTGTATATCTACATGCCTGAACTACACACAAAATGCATGTATAAGTGTGCACAGGCACACAAACACATCATATATTTGCACAGATGTAACATGAATGCCTCGCCACATACATATATACTGCTAACACTATTATAAGAAGGCACCTTTATGTGCTATTTTGTGCTCTGTATAATATACAAAAGCACAGTGGGCAATGCAGCAGCCCTCATTCCAACAACTAGAGAGAAGACAGACAATACACAGCCGTGCACAGAAAAATAAACACATATACTTTTCTAAAGGTCCGGAGCCCATCCATTTATCCTGTATTTACATAAATCTTCTTTTATCTTGAGCTTTACTGCCAAATTGACCACAGTGAGGGCCAGCATACTTGTGGCTACACAAAGAAAGCAAGGTAATATGGACCATCTGCGAGCAATGGTGTGTGTGTGTGTGTGTGTGTGTGTGTGTGTGTGCCTCACCTAGATGAGAGGGGAGGTGCTTCCCATTAGCCAGCAGGCAGTAAGTGATGCTGACACTGGAGATTGAACACAGACAAAAACACAACTTTATGCACACTAAATGTGTTTACACTGATTTGGAGCACTTCTGTGCATTAGTTAAAATTATAATCCTTAGGATTTTTATGAAATCTGACCAGATTTTTTGATATTATTTACTCTTGGCACATTTTCCTGCAATACCCATGCAGTTTATTTACATTTAGAGGTTATCTCTCTATATTGTAATTTATGCTGGTAGTGGCAGAATACACTGGATTCAGATTGGCTACCTTAGCATGAGGGACACAGAAAAATGATTGTGTGTTAGTAATTTTTGTTATCAATTTTTAATTGATAACAGCTTCACTCTTTACTGTTTGCTGTCTCTAAATTTCAAAGCTGTTCAAGTTATTGCTAAAGCTAGAGAGACATCCTACTGCTGCTGCTTCACATTAAAAGCCTTAGAGTTGTGAAACACAAGGTGGCTTTTATTGGCTTTTATTTATTCCTTGGTAGTCGATCCTCGCTTGACCCTGAAATTGTTTCATTCTGCCCAGATGAAGGACATCTCAAAGCTCTTATTTCTACTCTGAGGGGTGAGATGGCTGCCTGGAGGAGCTAAGTCTGTGATGGACTGACACACCCCTTTATTGGAAATCTGTTTGTGATTGGACGCTTCATATAAATGACAGGAGGAAGAGACATCGCATGTGAGTTTAAATGTGTTTCCTGGGTTCCTCTTTCCTTGCAGTTTCTCCTTGCATCTTTTCCTCGCATCGTAATTGGGTGGGACCAAGTTGCAAAGAAAAACCAAAAGTGAGGGAAACATGGATGCAATTAGGGGAATTGGGATTCACGTGATTACGATTGTTTGTGAGACTATAAAAAAAGTCAAAAGGTCAACTTTTCAGCCGATACTAAGTAATAAATGTACACAAACAGTTTCTCTTCTGTTATATTCCTGACACAAACAAATATTTGTCTCACATAAACTGGGGGAATGACTCATGCTCTTTACAGATGTTTGTTGATTCAAAACAATATCTTATTCATTTTGAGAAAGCTACACTCCACTCTGCACTCTCTCCACATTTTTGTCTTTTGACACAACTGCCCCACCCTTCTCCTACTCCTGTTTTTCTGCAACCTTTGTCTCCTTTTTGTTTCCTAGGCAGCAAAGACACCAGTAAACACTAAAACAAGACTTACTTGTATCAACCTACCAGCCAAATAATAAAATGCCAGTCAGTCTGGCAAATGCTCACAGCAGTCTAAAAATATTCTACATTTAATATGGTGGTTAAAGTGAGCGTCACTGAGAAAGAAAGCACGGTGGATTTCCCCCTTTTTAACCAGACCCAAAAATATTGAGTGTGTAGTTCAGAGTGACTCAGAACAGGAAACTGGCAAACATTAAGTCATTTGACATTCCCATGGAGTAAAGTTTGGAAAACTGCAACTGAACTAAGATGTGGGTTACATAACATATACAAAACTTTCTATGTTCTGCTACTGAGAGCTCTAATTATTCCTAAGTGTTTTTTTTTTTTAAAACCATTAAGGATATTTCCTCTACAATGGCAAATACTGTATGTTGGATCAAATAATTTTTCTATTAATATACAAGTGCAGCTCAACTTTACCAAGACACAGCAATGGTCTCCCTCCCAGTGACCAGCCCGCAGGTCTTCTCCTCCTGGTTGAACATGGTGGGATGCACTGTAAGAGACGCGGTGGCACTCACTATTGGCCGAGCCCTGAATGAAAATACAGACAGTGAAAAAATAAGAATGGTCCATACATTTGTTATTACACTGCTGAGAACTTTAACATACCTGTAAAGTACTGCTTTATCAGCCCCAAAAGCACCAACAATCAGATCTATACAGAGGGAAAATGAATTAAATGAAGATATCAAATAAGAAGATAAAGTGTTAAAAGATGTCTGGTGGTGGACTGTTTCCTGCAGTACCCGGGTAGCCGTTTTGATCCAGATCTCTGTTTCCTCGCAAAGCAAATCCAAAACTGGCCAGGAAAGAGCTGGAGGCCCACTGGCCAGAAAGAGTCTGAGTGGGCGTGTTCATCAGTCCTCCAGCATAACCATTATAAATGAGCACTAAGCCCTGCTGGTCGTCTCCTCCGTAGGGACAGCCGATGGCCAGGTCTGAAAACAGCAGCACCTCACCATAAGAAGCAGCTCATGCTTTCTCAAAACCTATATTTCCCACTTGTACATGTATGTTACATGCAGGAGAGGTTTCACTGAGTGTAACACACTGGTTAAATCAACTAAAATTTAAACAATAATTACTGTGTTGTGTTGTGGACTAGCTGGGACTAAAAGTGTTTTTAAGAAATGTATATAATAATATGAAAACAGTTGCTGGTTAATTTTCTGACAATCAATCAACTAATAAATTAATCAACTGTTAAAGTTCTATTATAATTGGAAAAAATTAAGCAACTGACATAACTTAAACTTTCAGCGCCCCACTGAGTCTAGACTGAAGATGAAATAGTCATATATTGCTTAGTAATCTTAGAATGGATATATTAAATCTTAATTTGAAGATTTCACTTTTGAGCAGATAAAAGAATAATAAAAAAGTGCATAAAAATCACAGTTATCTGACTATTTGTACTGCTATCCAGCATCTAGCTCTTACCCATATGCATGTATCACACCTACCGTTGAATCCATCCTGGTTGAGATCACCCAGCGGAGCCAGCGAAGTACCAAAGCGGCTGAAGGTCTGTGGGCCAAGAAGATGGGACTGACTTGGCTCCAGCAGCAAAGGACCCCTCTGGAGGTATACATACACCTTACCCAGCTCCTCCAGATGTCCACTGAACCCTCGACGCATGAACGTTGGAGCGCCAACCACCAGATCATCATGCCTGAGGAGGCAAGTAAAGCAGGAGTAAAATAACATGGATAAAAACAGAAGAAGAAACAAAGACAGATATCTGAAGTGGATGTTATAGCCCATGTGTTTTTTTGGGCAATGATTTGTCCTAAATTATTCTTTTAAAATTTGGTTTTCCCCTATTAGTATCACCCTTAAAGACAAAGTGAAAGGCAAAATATATTTCCTAAATTTTGTTTTAGTTGTCATCCTATTCCACTCTGTCTCACAGTATCATTGTGCATCACAAGCTGATGCACAATGATGTTTATGATGTTTACACTGAGGTTTAACACCTCATACGGCATGTACATCAGGCCACTGAGGTTCATCAGGTTAACAAGTGAATCTCAAATTATGGTTGTGAAACAGGGGAAAGAACCAGAGAAAGTTGAATATTTACAACGTAGTAGCTATTTCCTGTTGAAAGCTGCGGATGTTAGAATGATGAAACTGGCTAACAAGCATGTGTGTCTCTCTTACTCAACAGCAGTATAAAAAGGCTAACAACATTTATGGTACAACTACCAGTAGGAATTTTCAAATACAATACACTTTACTGTACATGACTACAATGTACTATATACAGTATAACACATTACTAAAACAGTTCAAGGGCAGCAAGAAAACTTTACAAACAAAATAAAAAGTTCTCAGGATGCAACTTTGCCAGGACTGGAGAAATGAAACTGGACAAAGGGGAACTCTACACAGAGAGGAAATGTCTAGACATTAAATAAAAGCAGAGAAGGAAGAGAAGCTTTCATGACACATAGAGTGATAGGGTGGCTGAGTTAGGGAAATTTCCAAGAGGTCCCACTGTTCACCTCTGTTCCCATCAACTTCACCCTTCACTTTTAGTTTCTTGTCATTTTCTCTCCTTCCACCCACTTCATCTCCCTTTCACTATTTTTGCCAGCATCTGTGACACTGTCGGTCCATTCACTCACCCATCACTGTTGATGTCGATGGCTGCCACTGCATAGCCAAAGTAGGACCCCATCTGGAACACATTACACACAAGACCCACTTTAGCCTATAATCACACCATGGTGCATAGATCCCCTTTTCTTTCATTTTCTTTCTCCATGTCGTTTTTCTTTTTGTACCTTCCACCACCACTCCTCAAAGCTTTCTTCATCAATCTCTCAATCCCACAATCCCCTGGGGTCTCCTCTTCACCCTTTTCATGGAGCTCAGTGTTGGAGCTTCTGTAAGCTCAAAGCAAGGTATGGGGTCTAGGGGAACTGATTTAAAAATCAATGTGAAAACATACTCACAGGGCCCAGGTTTTTCAATTTACTTTCATACACGCATGATAAATTAGGCTCATTTTACACCCTTCGGTTACTCTCACTTCGAACTTATTTGCAGCATAGTGTGGAGGTGTGTTTGGAAGCCCCTGTGAAAAACAAGACCTAAAATTTTCGTGTTCCTGTATCGTATGTGCAAAACAGGTCATATCATCATAAATCAAACCGAGGCTCACCACAACGTTCAAATCCACCATGACGCCCTAGGTGGCAGCTTTGCACACTCTGAGAAACATGATCAAACTTTCCTATGGAGCTGAGCCACCACGAATGCTCATCTGAGGTGAGGTGTGGTGAACTACTTAAGAAACATTGTCCACAGGCACTGGGCATATTTGATGATAGTCTTTCAATGCTCTGATTTCAGATGTGACTTAAATGTTTATGAAAGTAGCAGCTACATGCATTATCTAGCTATCTGAAGGAGTGCAGGAGTGAATCTGTTAGAACTGCATTTGAAGGACATCTGTAACCTTTTTAAAAACTGCCCTAATACTGATTCCAACATCTGTCATACTAACAATGGCTCACATAACATACCCACAAAAATTATCTGCTAGCATACGGTACTTTTTTTTGCATGCAGTGGTTTTCAGCACAAAAAAAAAAGTTCTTTTAGAGTCATTTTACAGAAACTGTCCAACACGAAATAGTGGAAAAAGTTAGGAACTAGCTAATTAACATAGCTAAAGCTGACAGAGCTAGTGACCAAAGACAGGGCATCTTTCACAAAAACCCTATGGTGTGTTTTTGCAGCTGACTTCAACATCATAGTCAGAGCACCCACAGAGGGACCAGCGTTCACCCACAGAGACCAGAGAGTCAGTTAGCCAAGAGTTCACCTCCGATCACTGTGTGATCTAGCAGTTTTCTCCACCCTCAATCTGACACCTCTGAACAGTCACTGATGACCTCCCACACTGGAAACTCAAGCACACACTCAGACACATGCTTTCCCATGTGTGCATGGTCTCATGCTCTTACATCTTGCAATATGTACACAATGAAGCCTTGTTAAATTACACAAGAAAGTAACAGACAAGTCAGTTTCCCCATATAAACTGTCACCGACATGCCCCAACTTAAAGCATAGATTCACATTGGTTCAAGTGTCTTAAAACACATTCACACATGTAGTTTCCATACTGGTTGTGAAGAAATCCTTCCTAAAGTAAATACAATATCAGTGCTGAGGAACAAAATTCACAGTCCTCATTTTGTTTCTAAATGTTTTCCAAAGTCCACTGTTTTCTAAATGTGAACATAATGGCAGCTATGTTACAGCTCCACTCTTCACTGTTGCACTTTAGTTGCCATGGGAAGTTAAGGTGGTAGTCAGTGGGAGGCATGTCACCTCTTTAAATGCAAAGCTGATTAATTTTTTGCTCAGAAGAAACTTTCCAAAAATAAACCTGCCTGCTAAATTGATTTGTTGACCTTTCGTTTAAAAAAATTCCCCTGTGGGTTTTATTTAAGCAGTATTACTAAAAGCCCACTTAGTGTCTGATTCATTTAAAAAAGCACCTCTGACCCTGGTACAGGCTGCTCCCCTGTCAAGTTGAGCAGAGACTTCATATTCCTCCCATCTAATATGGACACCTATATTAAGAAAGAAGTTATTTTTGATTACAAATTGTGGCTCATTATCCTAGAATTCATAATAATCCTGGGTTGTTGAAGTTTATTTATCTTTATTCATGTATGAGTTTATGTTTTGTAGAATTTTGGTCTAAAATTTTCTAAAATAAAACTGTGGGGACTCCTTACTAAACCATACAGCATGAGTCCTTTTGGAACCCCTGTGATGAAATCTGCAACAAAGCAAGCAAGAGGGAAATGGTTAGGATAACCACAGACCAATAAGCAATTCTATAATTTTCTTATTATTTTAATTTATTTGAGTTTCTAAAAACTTTTGCATCATGAAAAACATAATAATCCCTTTTTGGTATGGCACAGTTACATGTGCAGAGACTAAGCAGTTAACTATTAGACAGAACTTAGTGGGCGAGGGTCAGAAAACCCTGTAGCCAGCCACACATTTTGACTCTACTGTAAATATGACCCTCACCTTCCTCATTATCCCCACTGAATTCGCCACCAGCTACAGAGTAACCTGCAGGAGAGATGGAGAGCACAGAAAGAGTTGGAAAGAGAAAAACAGCTGAGGTTGGATGTGCTGAAACTACAAGTTACCCTAATCTGTTTGACAGAGACCAACAGAGGTGGTAAAGTATGAGTCTTGAAACAACACAGTCATCCTTACGCTCCCAAACGCAATGCTGCAGAACCCTTGGGCCCCCTTACATTACTTCTGCCAGAGGTTCACAGAGTCCAAACATTAGGCCCTACAGTATGAAAGTCATGACTTCATTTGCTTGTTTGTCCTGGGGGTAGCACGAGGGTAAAGGTAAATCAAGTTCAAATCCCCTTGGGAACATGATGGGGCTTGGGATCTTTAATGTCTTGTGATATGTGTGCATTATTATTCTGGTATGATTGTTGAACCAAAGGTTGAAGAGTGAGGACAGCACATTTTTACAGTCTGTCACTGCTCAGTGTGCAAAGTTGACTATTTGACCTGAGGGTGGTGTTAGTGGAAAGCTCACTCCAAAATAGACAGCATACCTTCTGCTGGGAATTTGAATGTGCTGAGAGAATTAAAAGTAACTCTTACAGGATAGATCAATCCCTCTGAAATACAGTCTTCTGGATTTCTGCTCTTAAGATATGTTGCTCTGGACCAAACTATCAGTCAGCAAAACCAACCAACTTTAGGTATAAAAACAGTCAGTAGCAAAAAATGTAGTTGCAGCAGCGTGACAATAGTAGTAACAGTAGAATTGGTAAAAGTACAAGTAGTATTTGTTGTTTGAATTTATAAAGTTTTAATGATTGTATTTGACTGAGGTGCACTTCCTCACCCATGTAACTGTCATCGTAGGTCCCCTGCACCTGTTGGGTCTGAATCTGCCCAGCGACTGACAGCAGGAAGTAAGAAGGGTAGTAGGCCTTAACGATTTCCTCTGTGGTAGCTGAGATCAGCTGACCTATACGACGGATGGGTAACAAAAGTTGTAAAGGTTAAACAAAAATATGACTTTTGGACTCTGGCTCCTGAGTGGATTTTCTGCACTCCCCCCAAAGAAAAAAATCAATTGGAAGATATCTCCTAAAAATCCATGTTGTTCCACATTCCAGGGAGCTCACCTTGCCAGTAAAAGCTGCCTGGCCCTCCAAGCACAACCCTCCCATCCTGTAACACACACAACAGTAGCCAGAGCTGAGGAATGTGCATCATCAGTTTTATCAAGAATTTCAAACACATTCTGTAGTGTAATCTTCACTGCTGCTAATACTTCAGCCAAGACAGAGAAACAGTGAATATGTGATTATGTAGAAACCTGCAAAAACCTCCAACAAAGAAATTCTCTTACCTTGGTGAAGTCAGCACTAAACCCCCCCTGACAATAGCCCTGTCCAGCAGGTCCATGATTCTCTGCAGTGAACAGCACCAGAACACAGGGAAACTTTTCAGTTTCATGAAAAGTAAAATAACTTAGGGCAGCATACAACCCCAAATCAAAAAAGTTGGGACAGTAAAGTATTTACCACAATGTGATATTGTCGTTCCTTCTCACAACACTTAAAAGACATTTAGGGACTGAGGACATCAAGTGTTTAAATGTGTCAGGTGTCATTTTGTCCCATTCTTCTGCAAACAAGTCTTAAGGTGTGCAACGGTCCTGGGTCTTCATTGACGTAATTTGAGTTTCAAAACGTGCCACACATTCTCTACTGGGGACAGGTCGAGACTGCAGACAGGACAGTCCAGCACTCACACCCTTTTTCTCCACAGCCAGGCCTTGGTAATGTGCAGGATGAAGTTTTGCATTGTCTTGTTGAAATATGAAGAGAGCAGATGTTGCTCCAACATCTCTGTGTATTTTTCAGCATTAATGAAGCCATCACAGAAGTGTAAGTTCCCTTTGCCAAGAGCACTGACACGACCCCAGACCATGATCCCAGACGAAAAGGACCATCCAGTCTGGACGGTCCTTTTCGTCTTTTGTCCATTCTTTCCAAAAAAGACCTGAAAAAAGACCTGAAACACTGATTGGTCTGACCACACTACACATTTCCAGTGTGTGCATCCCAGATGCCTCCGAGCCCAGAGCAGTCAACTGTGCTTCTGGACACTGCTGACATAGAGCTTCCTTTTGGCACAGTCCAGTTTTAACAGGCACTTATGGATGTAACTATGTGTTGTAGTGCCTGACACAGATGTACCAAAGTAATCCTGAGCCCATGTGGTTATATCGCCTATAGAAGGTTGATGATTCTTGATGCAGCCTCGTCTGAGGGATCGCTACACATTTCCAGTGTGTGCATCCCAGATGCCTCCGAGCCCAGAGCAGTCAACTGTGCTTCTGGACACTGCTGACATAGAGCTTCCTTTTGGCACAGTCCAGTTTTAACAGGCACTTATGGATGTAACTATGTGTTGTAGTGCCTGACACAGATGTACCAAAGTAATCCTGAGCCCATGTGGTTATATCGCCTATAGAAGGTTGATGATTCTTGATGCAGCCTCGTCTGAGGGATCGGAGAGCACGGTCATCCAGCTTAGACTTGTGTCCTTTACACACTGAAATCCCGGCAGAGTCCTTGAATCTTTTAATCATGTTCTGCACCATAGAGGGTGACACATCCAAATCCCTTCTTATCTTTCTTTGAGGAACATTGTTTTTACACATTTCCATAATTTCCTCACACATATGTTGTCAAACTGGTGGTCCTCGACCCATCTTTGCTCCTAAAGGGCTCTGCCTTTCCTAGATGCCATGTTTGTACCAAATAATGATGCAGTCACCTGTTGGCATCACATGTTTCAAATGGAATCATCATTTCATTGTTTTACCTCATTACTGGCCCTGAAATGCAACCGCCCCAACTTTTTTTGGAATGTGTTGCAGCATCAGAATTGAAGTGAGTGTTTATTTTGAACAATAAAATTGATGAGGTATCACATCAAATAATGTGCTGCTGCATTGTTTTCAATGTGATACAGGACACAGATGATTTACAAAGCATTATTTCCAGTTCTAATTTTGCTTCTGATTGGGGCTGTACTCCACAGATTTATCACATTTCAGAACTGTCCCGTCTGGTTTACAGTGATTTAACAACATGATGAGATCCACTTTCTATAGGATAATAAGGATAATCACCTTTATTGGCCAATATGTTACACACAAGAAATGCGTTTCCGGTACAGAACCGAGGCAGCCATCTGCAGCGCCAACACACACTGATGGCTCTAACCATTTGGGGGCAACTTGGGGGTTCAGTGCCTTACCCAAGTACACTTCAACATCTCAGCTATTCATATAAATAGCTCTATCTTCACCCGGTCACAGTTGTGGATATCTGACTCTGCTGACTCAAGAGAGTTCATATTGATTGCAGTGACTACAAACTTCTTTTATGATACAGGCAGTGGTTGACACAAACATATTGTGCCAGTTGGGTCAGTGGGATAAATATGAGCCTTATTACTGTCAAAATATTGACATTAATTATTGATTTTGAAACTCCTATTATTATTATTTGTCTTGTTTTGCTTACTACTTACTGGCACTTTTAAAAGTATACTAATTTAGCTATGGGAGGCGACAGTGGTGCAGTGGGTGGAGTCGTCTCCCAACCAGAAGGTTCGAATCTCGGTGCCAGCAGTCCACGCGTCGAAGTGTCGTTGAGCAAGACACTGATGGTTAGAGCCATCAGTTGAGGTGGCACCGCAGATGGCTGCCATCGGTTCTTTACCAGAAACAAATTCCTTTTGTGTAACATACTTAGCCAATAAAGGTGATTATCCTTATCCTATTATCTGTTGGCAGTGTATCCATGAATGTACAACTAGCACAGGATTATTTTGATACTGAAGAAAATTTTAAAATGTGATGATTCTCAGGTAAGTTCAGAGTTCAGTTGATAAGGTGTCTTTTTCTAAGCACATTTATTGACTTTTATGTTTTGTTTTGCAATGGACGTTGGAGATAAGGTTATTCTTGGGAAGTGTAAAGGCCAAGTCATGCTTTCTGTGTCTGTCTGTCCACAGGGGTCTCTGTGATGTAAAATTCATCATGTGCCCATGAGCTTTAGGACAAACCCTGCAGATGCCAGCATGCAGCCCAACATGTGAGGCCATGAGGACTGCCCATACTGACTTCGCATGCAACAGACAAGTAAACTGAAGGCCCATTTTGTGCATCGTGTCCTTGTCAATAGGACACAGATTTTTATGGTAACACATTGGCTATACCAACTTGATGTGTATTTCTGCACTCCACTGGCCTTAGATGCTCTGGAGGTTAGTCATCATAACAGTAGCTCACCTGTTCGACAAGGGGCATACTCTACAAAAGTCTTGAGGCTGTCTACAGAGAGGTAGCAGGTTCCTGTAACATCAGTGAAGGGTGTGTCGTGCTCAGTCCTCCAGTAATATCTGGGAGCACAAGCCTGGGTAACACAGAAACATAGCAGAAGTGCTAAGCTGACCTTTCATTTAACTCTTTATTTGAATGCAGATTGTTAAGTCATTGCTTAGCAATTGTAATTACACACAGGGAATCTCTGACGCTCTTGAGAATTTTGAATGCGCCATTATGGTGTGACAGGTAACACTGATATTCTGTATCCAAAGAATCTGAGAGGTAGAGCTCCGGCTGAAACCAAGTTATGGATGAAACTGTGTTTTTGTTTTTGCTATAAGGTAAGTAACTATCATTAGTATTCCATTAAAAATTTTAAAGTTTAGACTCAGGTGTGCTTAAATTGAGCTATCATACAACAGTAGCAAAACTGCATCAAACTGCTTACATGATATCCTGATATGATATGTGCAGCTATCATGTGCATACTAAAGACCTGTGGCTTTGGTGTTATTGTTACCATTCTGCACTCTCAAATGTACTATCAAATGTACTTTTGTAAATTCAACTGCAATAATATTATACATATACATGTATAAGTCTCCTGAAACCTGATCTGTATAGCTAGCGACTCAGTATGGGGTAATAACCCCCAGACTGAAAAGTACTGCACCAACCTTTGGAGACCAGAAGAAAGAAATTTTCTTAAAAGTCTATTTTTGGACTGAAATAAGAGCCAGAACATATCTGTCAACAATACAGTCAATCAGACTTAAAAAAAAAAAAAAAATTATGCTAAACTGATCGACCATCAAATAATCATTCTTACCAGGATGCTGTTACCATGGGAACGCACAGTAGCTCCAAACCACTGATGGGACTTGAATTCAACCTGAGTGTTCACATCATTTATATAAAAATACCGATCACCTAGAAGAACACAGAAGAGAAAACCATATTTTATAGCACATTTACAAACAGTTGAAAGCAGCTCTTTTATAATTTTCAATAAAATTTGTAATTACTACACTGTTTAGTTCTCAGAAAATCAAACCTGGAAGAAAAGAGTGAAGTCAAAAGTAGCTAATCTAATTTCTTGGGTTTTTGATTTTTCAGCTGTAAAGTCTTCATTTGAGCACGTTCCCCACGTGTTCTTGGTTTTTTTACATGGATATTTTATGGCTCTGTTTCCAAGGTCTGCAGTCTTAATCCCTCCTTCATGCTATAGCAGAGCTCAAACAACTCAATGGACTTGGGCCTTGTTGTTACTGTAACCCAAACGGCTGTACTTCATTGTCTGGATCTGTTTTATGAAGAGGCCCTGGAAGTGATGAATGAGGGGGTGGTGGAGTTATAAGTGTGTGTATGTATGTGTGTGGGTCTGCCAAATTTTAACTTGTGCAGCGTCAGCAGCATTACACCTCTGTGATTTCTGATTTGAAGAACATGCTGCTAAAATAATTTATTTGGAAAAATAAGGCAAAGGTAATATTTCTTCTTCAGTGGCTTCTCTTGGTCCACAAAGCTCAACTTTTGGGCCTGTCTGGAACACTACAATAGGTTTCTGACTCGAAAAATCTATTCACATCCTTATCCAGATATATTATACATAAACGTGCCAATAACTGCGTAAGTTTTACCAGGTTGTATTTTTGATATAGTGTATGTTCCCTCTGTCTGCAGCACAGTGGTGACATTAACCTTCTTGGCTGGTTAATGGGGTCTGGCCTGTATCCTCAAACACACCATGGGTCCTGAGGCCTCCACTGAGAAATGCAAGGCTACTGACTGTAAAAGCATGTGATATATTTGTGTATGAACTTACTGTAAGTGTGGTTTTGCATGTTTTTTTTCTACACTGTCATGTTTCAGAAACAGTTTGTGTTTTTAAATGGTTTCTAGTTACAGTGTGCACACAAAATGAATGTTAACACTGTTATAATTTTTTAGTATATACTTGTGTGGTGTAGAAGAGAATCATTTACGGCTTGCAAACCAATGATGGTAAGATGATGTCATGGGGTAGGACTGGATAAGTCTGACTTCTTCCTACTCCATTCAAGCATGTACTAGGTATAAGCAAATTGATATTGGATTATGTGTACAATCATGTGTGTTGTCATATCAACTGTTTTTACATGCTTGAAAGAATAAATCAAATCAAATCAAATCAATTAAATCAAAATCTGCACAGTCACAGCTCTTAAACTGAGTAAATGGCTTGTTCGATATCAGCATGTGAGCATGTACGAAAAGTTTGGCCCTGTGATCCTCAAATGGTGGTCCTTATCACTTCCTGTGTTTGCGATGGGGTGATTATTTTCCTGGTAGAGCGAGAGCCAGCCCAAGTCCTCTGGGGTCCTTGTCCTCATAATAACTCTGCCCTAATTAAAGAGTGCTCACGACACTGGGCCTGGGTCCAGCAAGGAAATCAAAGTTCTGTAAAATCACTACAAACACAACACATGCCCCAAAATGGGGGCCTTTAGGGTTGAGTGGAGGAAAGCCTCATCCACCCTTAAAACACAGGAGCGACATTTAAGACTGTTTGACAGTGTTGTCTGGGAGTGACTTGTTTTATCCTGAAACAATTACCAACTACTTTTGTGATTATGATGTGGATACCGAACAACTGTCTCCCTTGGATTTAAAATTTTGAGTTTGATTTTTCACAGATCTCATTTTTATTCATGTGAGTGCAAAACAGCCAATTGTCAGTTTAAATTTAACAAGACACCATACCTTGGTTGTCAAAGTTGACCATGCTGCAGTTAGGTTGGCTCCAGGGGCAGAGGTACACAGCTCCTCCTTCAGTGATGTTGGGTTGGCTGGTATTGGCTTTTGGAGCACCGATCAGAATACTGCTGCTACACAGGAGAAAGGAAAACACAATCTTATTTGTCCTGGTGAAGAGAGACGTCCAGGAAAAGTCTAAAGTTATACCAAGATGGGTTTTGGCATACACACAGCATATGAAGTATACAATGTCTGGACAAAGAATTGACTGAAGGGTTGAAAAGGGACCTGTGACTGGTTAGAGACCTGTTCCCTGTAGATTTTCTTGTATGTTTCTTAAATTTGAAAATTATCACAGAGAGGAACCACACAGTGTAGCCTGTGGAAAAGCAAGCTACACAAACAACTGGGAAGGAACATTAAGTACTGTACTAACATTAGGAAGCTACAAGAGGCACTAGCAAGGCTGACTTTTCTCTGGTCATCCACATGCGTATGCAATTTGCAGCACCTCCATCCTGCTACAGACCTCTATTATTTTCACTAGTCGCCAAGGTTATGACACTCTTTATCAAGCACTGGTGCCCAAAACATTTAAATATATGTCTATAGTTAACAAGTCAAGTTAATATAATGTTACATCAAGTTAGGACACAATCTCTACAACCTCAGCATGAGGTCTGAGTCAGCATTACAATCCATTATCTGCTGTTAATGAGTGAACTTAATAACCAGAGCAGCCTTTTTTAGCAGAGCACTGTGTAGTTTTAACATGATGCCAAGTAAAAGTTATTCTTTAGTATCAAAGCCATAATGGTACCAGCTTCCTTAGTGTCTCAGTGTTTTGTACAGTATTGTGTAATGAGTCTGGCAGAAGTACAATTGTTTTGTGTCCTACTTTGTGTGCCACATATAGAGTCAAGTGTATGCTTCGTTCACTGTAAGTAAACTAGCATTTTTTTTAAATAAATCTTAAAATTATAGGCTACATATAACAATGAGGAACTGATGAAAAGTTGTGAGACTGTACAAGAACAGTAAAGCTGTAGGCTGTAAAACACAACAGTTAGTTAAAGGACAATAAAATCTCAGGGGAGCTGAGCAGATCTGGGTGATAATTCTCTCCTATTTTGCCACTTTAAAACCATTTCCCATTATTTGCACTTAATTTGTCCACTGTTAAAGTAAGAAAAACTGACCAGCTTTAAAGTTAGTTTGCTGCAAAGTTGCTACATTGTAACCACTGGCTGAGTGATTACATGTCACAGTCAGCCTCTATGAAACCTGAATGGTAGTGACATAGCAGAGTGCAATTATTGTAGCTTTTTTTAGTTTAATGAATGACAATCATCCATCCTAAAATCCTTGGTTGAAGATAGTTTTAGCCTAGGTTGAATTTTCTTCATCTAGACTGCTACCTATTAGAGCTAGCAAGGTGGTTTTAAGCTTTTTTTTAGAACATGTGTGAGTGGGAGACTAAACAAGAAGTATCCGGAGATACAGTATTTCTGCATACTGTTTTCACTGTATGACTGTCTAGAAATGAATGAATGGCAACAACACATACAAGACAGCAATAGAGCAAAACACATGCTACAGATAAATATTAGTACAAGTGTGTGTATATGAGTATGTATTACAAGTCAGCTATGCTGTCAAAGTTTACAGCCCGCCCTGCTAAAAAGGCTTGACCCAGAGTGAGTGGCACCACTGAAGACACTGGACACTGATGACACTAGCAGAGATCAGACAGGCTCTGTACTCCCCCCATCTGTCATCCCCATGCCCTCAAATGTCTGGAAAGCACAAGAGGAATATTTACATGTCTGGATAAGCTCTCCTTATGAAACACTCACTCCACAGCTCCTCAGTCTGTCTCTTTTAAAGGTGCCTGACTTGTAACCGCCCACTACTGTCTGTGATCTCTGCACATGTGAAGTTGTACTGAGTCAATTAAAGGCACTTGTCATGAAAGCACAACAGCCAACAATAGCCTTCCTATGTCAGTGGGACGGGGGAAGTTTCTGTTGAGACCTGAATTCAGGATTCTGTTCCTTTAACTCACATTCAACATGGACATCTGAAAACAAGGAAATGGCTTCGAGGCATAATGAGGATAAAGACGCAGCCTGTAATTTTTCTAAGACTACTACGACAGATTGATGAGCTCAGTGAATGTATTCACACATGTCTTATTCAGTTTAACTGTTCATGTTCATCATGACCTGCTCAAAACATTTTTTTGTACAAGATGGTTGACAAAAGGTTGGAAACCACTGATGTGTAATGATCTGATCTTCCATTACATTCAGCAATAAACATAATACATGTCCAAGGAAACTGTATGAGCTTCTGTAACCCATCTAACCCTGTTCAGGTTTCTCAAGAGTTGTTATAATAAACACTGCATGATAGATATATGAGCCACAGTCCAACCCAAATATTTGTTTGGTTTGGGTTAATATAAATACACTTGTTAAACCCACACATATCTGGGTGGTCCAAAATGATTTGAAACAAAACTCAATTAATATGTTTTTGTTCTTGCTGTTTCAAACATAAGATCATGAGTGAACCTCTATGAGTGATAGAAAGTTTTAGGTAAGAGTAAAAACACAGCTAAGAAAAATATTATTTTACTTAAATGTGCTATTTTAATAAGTAAAGTTGCATAAAAACTGCAGTAGAAGACAGTATGTGTTCTTCTTCTCCTGTTCTAGACCGAAGGTTATGTTTGACCAGCTAACAGCCACTTCTCTGCTCACAGTAAGACTGAGCGACACCTAAAAGCCATACCTAACCCTGTGACTGGCAGAAGTCGGGCTTTTCACAATCCATTGTCTGTATCATTTTCACGGTAATTGCTCCAGTGCTTATTTTAATATGTCAATGCCAGACGAGAAGCCAGGGGATTACCAAAGTGATAACATTCATCTTCTGGGAACCATAAATGTCCTGGCAAAATTTCATAGCAATCCATCCATGTTAAGAAATTTTAGTTTGGACAGACCGACAATGCCAGCCCTAAAGTCATGCTAGAGCTAGCATGCCTAAATAGTGCTCGAACTATGTCATTTATTAGAATACATTCTAATAATTAAATACCCCCCCCACACACACACACACACACACACACACACACACACTGTGTTTTCATTCCTTGTGGGGACATTAGATTGACTTACATTCATTTCCTGTAAACTTATCCTAGCCTTAACCATAACCGCTACTTGCCTAACCCTAACCCTCACCTTAACCTTAAACCAAATTCAGTGATCTCCTTGTGAGGTCCAGCCTCTGGTCCCCACAAGGATAGCCGAGTCCCCACAATGTGAGTGTGTCAACAGGTTTTGGTCCCCATAATGTAAGCAATACAAAGGCGCACACACACAATTGTAGGCAGGTTATTTCCAACCTTGATAATTTTTCCATTTCTCATTAATTTGTCTCAAAATTGGTCAAAATGAATTGACTGCCATACCAGTATACCTCTCTTTACTACCTCAGTACTGATGTATTATATTTATAGCACCTGATACGAGGAGGCACCGGCTCCACCGACACATTTAATGCCTGTCTAGACTTCTTCACTTAAACTGGACATTTGTACTGACAGAGTGAAAACAGAGACGGCATGGAGAGCAACAGCAGCAACTCTCAACAAGACTCCCACCAGAAAAACTGTGTAGTCAAAATACGTGACAACCAGCAAACACAAACCACACAGGAAAGCATCCTTTTCCTGCTGCATTGTTTACACACCATGAAACAAGACACACTAGATTCACATAAAGATGTGCTATAAATGTGAACTGTCTTGACTTAGTCAAAAACAAAAAGTGGTATTGTTCATCTTGTGTGTTTATACAAACTGGTCTAGAAACTATAAATAACAACATCTTAGTAAACATGCTTTGAACTGCCACAAGCTTATTTAAGCAAACTGCGAGAGTCTTAACAAATCTCAGGAAGATATCTACATGCATCACTTTTACTCTATAAACCCTAGAAGATGTTAGTGAGGGAAACCTGACAGAGAGTGCTGATAGAGTATAAGTGGGATTTATATGGCAAGGACCTCAGCAGCTTAACCTTTTACAGAAGCAGCTGTGGACATATCTTTCAAACAGTAGCTGCTACAAGTTATTCTCCGGCAGGTTATCACAGAGCAGATAAAACATGTGAAACATCTGATATTCACTCTATCATCCTTCAGAATGATCAGATGATGTAAAACATCCTCCAGAGATCCTCTAGCTCGAGAGCACTGCAGCTGTGAACATCTGGCTGAGAGGATGTTTTGGCCGGACAAAACCGAACATATGTACTTGCCTGTCTCAACATAAGTGGATCAGGTAGATGGTTCTGTATTTCAATTATCTTGTCAGCCACTTACCCTAATTGTACTATATCTGTTCAGCAAAACCATGGAAGAAAAATACTCAAAACAAGAAAGAACTGAATCTAAAGAAAAGGCGTTTTCAGAACGTTGAATTCCTCATTTGTTAACTTGTAATCCATGAGACACATTAACATACATTAATATCCAGGTGTTGCTGAGTTCACTATACTGATTTTTTGCCCTCAACAAAGTCATATTTTATGAACTAATGACGTGTTTTATATATATAATATATATAAATAACTTAACATTATTGCAAAATACTACAGTACATGCACAGTATCCTACTAGATCCACGCTATTAACATCTAAAGTTACAGACAACATGGTTGGGCATCTACAAAGTACTGAAATAAGGGTCCAATTCTGAATTCCTTTGTAAATGAGAGATTTCAGTTTTGACTTTTTTTTTAATTTGTAAACATCTCTAATCGTATGTTTTCACTTTGTCATTATGGGTTATTGATTGAAGCTTGATGGGCAAGACTGGCAATTTTATCAATATAAATTTAAACCTACAAAACAGTAAATGCAACTGAACATCATTTTCTGAAGCACATGTTCAGAAGAAGTAGTTGTTACTGTGCTGTAGGTTAACACCCCCCCCCCTCTGGATCATACACACACAGACTTTTATGTCTGTTTCCAATCATACTTGGCCTGGAATCTAGTGTGTATGTGTGTGTGTGTGTGTGTGTGTGTGTGTGAGAGAGAGAGACTTCTACATGGTATGTGAGTGATGTTTTAACTTATTTTACATACAAATATTTCCACCACTGTATCAATATAAAAATTCAAGTTAAACTATATAATGATGTAATGTTGTATAAGGTATCATTTTCATGGATGTTTGCAATGAGACCGAGTAAAAAACTCATATTTTATGTTTGGCTGCTGTGCATGCACATCAAGGACCCTGGATTTATTTTGTGATCATGAATGACTACCAAGACAAGAACTGTTTTAACTGAACACTGATTACAGAGGAGTGACTTATTGTAGATATGGTTCAATCTAAACAACAAAGCATGTCTGTAGAAGTAGCAAACAACATTAGTGTCACAGGTATATGGTGCTATGTGGCAATAAAGTACAGTATATCATAAGGATGTCAGGAGAAATAAAAATGTAAAGATCACCTTGTAAAGTGGTCATAACCACAGTGTAAAACTATAGAAATGTAGAGTCCACAGGGGGCACGATTTAAAGGTAAAATAAAGCCACTACCACTGAAGAGATGTCGCTCCACCATCTCTACAGTAAGATTAAAAGAGTGTTGCAGACTATTGATTCTGAAGCCTAGTAAAAGGTGTAAACTGTCTCCCATTGACTTGGGGATAATCTCAAGCTTTGTGGTCATGCATTAAGACTTCACCTGGATGAGTTACTGAAGAACTCCAAAGAATACCCGAAGTAACTTCCCTGTGGTCCGGTGAAAACGACGCGCGTCTCCGTGTCCAAGTTAAAAGCTGCGCAAAGCTGGACCAAAACCACTACTAGAGGTGCAACAAGCACGGTGTAATAACATTTCCCCCGTGACCAGGGAGGTGAAAGTCCAGGAACGGAGCCCATCTCTTCTTTTGCACGTCTCTTTTTTCATTGAATACCTGGAGCGCAAAGCGCATCATCCGTGCTGTTCCTTGTGCACTGGGTCGTGATCATGAACTGGTATCTTGAATAATCCTTCGGCTCCAACAGGTCCAGTGTACTGATCAGTGACAGTGAAGTGTAAAGAAAGGCAGGACTGGGTCTTAGAGAGTGAGGGAGTGAGGGAGGGGAGAATCACTCCAACTTCATTGGGGTGGAGCTTTAAAATATCTCCAAAGAAAAAAAAAGACTGTCGTAATGCTGTAAACACGAAGAGACACAGCAAAGTGTATTTTCAACGGAGACAGAACATTACGATGGAATATGATGTGGCCAAAACAAACTTATCAGTAAGTATTACACATATTTCTATGTTCATGTTGTACAGGCCTACCATGATGACAAAAGATGATACCAAGGAAACAATTTAGGAATGACCTACAGATGTAGCCTAATTAATATCATTAACAGCAGTGACGGAGGAAGTTCTCAGGTTGTTTACTAAAGTAAATGTAGCAGTGACACAGTGTAAAAATACTACAAATACAAGTAGAAATCGTACATTCATGTTACCTAAGTAAAAGTACAAAATATTAGCAGAAAATACACTTAAAGTACCAAAAATGAAAGTACTTATTATGCAAAATGCCACAGTTTACATTGATGTACATCTTATTATTTGATTATAATTATTGTGTACATCACATTTAATGTTGCAGCTGGTAAAGATGGAGCTAATTTTGTCGACCTTATATGCTTATAATTTGAATTACTGCTGAGTAGCTTGTGATTTTACCCCAAGGATCAATACATCTTGTGATTATACTGTATTGTGTTTTATTAGCCTTTTTCTGAAAAGTAACTAGAGTTATCAGGTAAATGCAAAAGTACCATTTTCTATGTGTAATGTAATGAAGAATGAAGTAGCATAAAATGAAAATACTCAAGTAAGTACAAATGTCTCAAAACTGTACTTAAGTGCAGTGTTTGGATAAATGTACTTAGTGACTTTCCACCTCTGATTAGCAGTGGCTGTAGGCAGTTCCAGTGTATGATGATGTACACTCATTAGAACTGAGCCAACCCTTCATGGCAGTAATAGCTGTACCATTTTCATCTTTCTTTTGTGCAAGCTAGACTGTCTTCTGTGAAAAAAAACTTGTTCACTCTCTTTTTTTTATAAAAGCCACTCGTTTAGGACTAAAAACGCAAAGATTTGACACACATTTATGACTGTGACTTGCTACTTTCTATGGGAGATTTGGGAGGTTCACATTCGAAAGCTGTGATTAAACCAATATCAGTGCAATGAAAGCTGTTACTGTTGTTATTCTGAACAACTGACATTAATGTCATGTGCACTGTAAAATATTTTAAGATGGTTCAACTTAAAAATGCAACTTACACATATTATTATTATTATGGAAATGGTAAGCACACTGAATTTCAACAAGGATGTTCAATAAATGTAATTTATCAAGTTCAATCAACAGCTATTAAAACAGACAAACATTTTCCAGGTGTTTATTTATTTATTTCTTGTAGTTTGAACAGCCAGTTCTTTATTTGTCACAAAGAACTTAGAACTGAAACATTTCTTTGTGGAGCATTTGTACCAAAGATGGCTTAAGGTTACGCTGTGTACAAGGACTGTGGTTAGCATTTGTTTCATTATCATAAGAATAAACCACCACAACGTATCTAAACATGTAAAGACACACAGCAAACCCGCTGTCTCTGATCACTCTGTCGGAGATGAACTTGCTGCTATTGCAGACTCATACACAGGCAAGCATACAGTACATGATTATTTGTAGGTCTCCTCACTGTTGTGTGTGTGTGTGTGTGTGTGTGTAGCCTATAGGAAAAGAGGACTCCTGAAGAACTGTGAGTCATGATGTGTTACCTGCCAAAGGCAACAGAACTTGAGAAAACAAGGTTTTCTCTCTGTAAAAACGCATTTTCACGGGGCAGGACAGTGTACCTTGTAGCAGATAAAAACAGAGCAGTTGTGTCCCCCCCCCACCCCCCACTACCAATTGCCAGCTGCTGTTGTAACGTGCTAGATTCATGAAGAAGTTTAAATAGAAAAATTGTCAACAGAATTAAGTGGATGCTTCTTCATGTTCTGAAAAGTTATCATACACTATACGGAAATTGTAATGTAATATGATGAATTCCTTAATTACAAGACTTACATTTTTTTAAGACTTACTCCTACAAACCATATACACTTATCATTACTGCAAATAGTTTGAAAGTATCCCCTTGACTGGTGGAGGTGGTTTTCCTTTTATCCAGCATCCAACTATTAGGAAAATTGTTTTTGTTGTGTTTAATTTACTGCATGAGGAAACATAAAAAACAGCAGCCACAGCACTGATGCATTCAAGAGTTTGTTGGTTCTAGAGTTGGTTCCTAAACAGAAATGGCAGACTGAAATAACAAACTTGCATGAGAAAATGACATTTTTCCCATTTTGCATAGAAGATAAGAAAGTGTGATCATAATTTTAAAAAAAACATGGTACACTTTGAAAAACATTTGTAATTTAAATGACATTAAATTTAAAGCTGGACTAATATTTTTGCATTAAAACTGGCTGAAATTCACTCATAGTTACTGACCCACCTGGAATTAACACCTGAATCTGCAGTTCCCCTCAGTTTTATGGTATCTCTTAGCATCTTTTTGCTCATTATTTGGGCTTTATTCAGTCCTTACCCTGGCCCACTTAAAATTGAACAAATGTCAGCTGGAGCCAATCCCAGCTGACACTGGGCGAGAGGCGGGTTACACCCTGGGCAGGTTGCCAGTCTATCACAGGGCTGACATGTAGACAAACAACCACACACCCCCGCACTCACTCATAGGGGCATCTTAGAGTCACCAGTCAACCTAAGCTGCATGTCTTTGGACTGTGGGAGGAAGCCAGAGTACCCGGAGAGAACCCACACAGGCACAGGGAGCACATGCAACCTCCACACAGAGAGGCCCTATGTCAGCCCGGGTTCAAACCCAGAACCTTCTTGCTGTGAAGTGACAGCGCTAACCACCATGCTGCTGTGCCACACTACTCTTCAAAATGAGAAATGTAAAATGAATAAACCTATCTCCACTGACTGTTCATGAGACTTAGTAGGTCAGTCAAATTAATATTTTTGTCTTTAATATGTTTCTAAGTTCAGTTAACGGAGTTAGTGATATACTGTATGTCCATCCATCCATTTTCCTCCGCTTATCCGGGACCGGGTCGCGGGGGCAGCAGTCTAATCAAAGATGCCCAGACTTCTCTCTCTCCAGACACTTCCTCCAGCACCTCCGGGGGAATGCCAAGGCGTTCCCAGGCCAGCAGAGAGATATAGTCCCTCCAGCGTGTCTTGTGTCTCCCCCTGGGCCTCCTCCCAGTGGGACATGCCTGGAACACCTCCCTAGGAACGCGCCCAGGAGGCATCCGAAACAGATGCCCGAGCCACCTAAT